CCAATGACAAACCCAAGAAGATGGTAACGAGTACGAGGGCGACTTTGACGATGATAATGACGGGTATCTGTCCGAAGACGACGCTACCGAGCATCACGATGAGCACGAACGGACCCACAGAGCTTGGGGAAAAGGAAAAGCAGGCAACGACATGGATAGCCGAGTGGCATGGCTCAGATCATGGGGTATCTGGCTGGTCGCTGCCGTTGTGCTTTTGCCTCCCCATCTCTTGGTTTTGCTCCTTGTGTGGTACGCATGCCTAAGTCTCTTCAAAAAGTTCATGGCTGCCGTCAGACGCGGCTAGCGTACTTCCGGTATCTCAGTCAGAGAGTGACTGAGACCGCGTCTGGAGTATGCAACCCCTTGGCTCGTGCCAAATTTCAGGAAAGATGCCTGAGCGTGTAAGAAGCGATGGAGCAGAAAAAAAAAAGACGGGTGTTTTCTTTTACAAATTGGTCAAGGCATAGACTTGTTTCATTGGTTCATAACCTCACATACCCTTTCCCCGGAAAAGTTGCGCCACGCGCAACCTTCGTCTTCCACCATTGTTATGTTATCGTCTCGACCATATTTCCAGGCCGTTGTTGGGCTTTCAGTTGTCGCAATCATGCGCACGCCCATATGGTTGCCCTTATCCGGCACTGTGAGAAAGTTAGTGGCGTTGTGTGTGTCTAGGTTTCTGGATTGAGGATGTAACCGATTTTCCTTTTTACATATCGGATTGCACATAGACTGACAACTCCATATAAAAGTCTGGTGAAATAGGGCTGCTTATCATAGTTTGGTTCTTTGAGTATGCTTGAAGACGAAGCAGAAGAAGTCTTAGACACCATATATTTAGGATAGAGCCTTGAACTGGCAGCGAGTACATATGGCACATACAGCGATTATTCCTGTCGCGCAGGATTCATTGTTTCAAGCGATGCCCGGCATTCGGAAAGACCTGAACAAACGTTCGTGGCAGCCGGTCGATGAATAACACTGGTTACACTGTGTCGCTCGTTCATAATCATGGGTGAGATGACAATGTGCGTGTGGTGTGGCGCCTCTGAATCCTAACTCAAGGATCTAGACATTATCTTAGATTTTGAATAAGGTTTGAATACAGATTACCGTTCCTAGCTTGTGGTTTGCTTCAGTTTGATATCTCTTTTCTGTAGTTCCCATCTTTCTTACCATACATAGTACATGTGCATCTTGCCAAATTGACTTGGGTCGTAAATGTCAATTTGGTAATGAAAGCGGACAGCTGGGTAGTTATTATCTTCTTAAAAGGTCTCTCATCAAATCTAGGGCGGACACTGCATCCAGGGAGAGAAAAAAGAAACAGACAGAGAGATCTGTTCAGATCAAAGACGACACAAGCTCACCACAACAGGAGGCAAGTTCAATGCCGTGATTGGTTCACAAAGCCACCAAGATCTCGCGTGTCCGTTCTGGGGTCAGAATGAAGGACAAGGAACCGTGGCAGTACGAGCCGAAGGGGCAGGTACGAGCGGAAGGAGGCATGTGGTGTACGTAGCGGTGTTGGCGGGGAGCTTGGGCCCCCTGTCCGAAATTTGGAGGCCACGATTCATCTTCGGTGCCAGAGTCCCCGATCCGCACCTGCCAATCCGCCATCCGCAGAAAGACAACTTGACAACATCCCCCATCACCAATCCGACCAATATCCATCGGTCCAAACCGACGAACCCTGTGGAAGCCGCCACACCTCACTTGACACGGTCGCACCACCTTACCTTTTGTTCCCAGCCATCTCCAGCAACAAACTGGAAACAACTTCCACTCCTTTCTCCCACGGTCCAATATTAACTACTACGCTGGCCTAGACAGAGCAGAGGATCCCCGCGGCAGCTCCAACAAAAGCACCCTGCTCGGCCTCTCCCTAGCTGCAACTTGTCCTCGACATCTTTTTCTTGGGAATTGCAGCCTGACCGCCGTCCACCTCAGACACGAGCAGCTTCTCGCCACGATAGGTACTCACCATGAGTACTGATTACGCCTACGACGAGGAGGGCCACCTCTGGCCCTTCTTCGTGTTTACCCTTACGTCCATCGTCACCGTACCCATCACGTACTCGCTAATAAAATCGTCGCGGAACGACCCAGCCGCCGCTCTTAAGCGCATCCAGACAGACTACAAGCACGACCAGTCGGCGGTAGTCGACACGTTACGCAAGTCGGAGAAGCGCAAGGACGGTAGCAAGCCATGGCTAATCGCCCTCGTCATCGCCGGGTGGGCTGTCATGGGCTACATGATCTACCTCATCAAGACCACCGACGCCCCGGTACAACACCTCTGGAACCCGTATGACATCTTGGGCATCGCCGAGAGCGCCACCGAGAAGCAAATCAAGAAGACGTACAAGATGCTCTCCCTCAAGTTCCATCCCGACAAGGCCCGCCCCGACGCCTCCAAGAACGAGACCATTGACGATCTGAACCGCCGCTACGTTGAGATCTCCAAGGCATACCAGGCTCTGACGGATGAGGACGTGCGCAACAACTTTATCCAGTTCGGCAACCCCGATGGAAAGCAAGGTTTCAGCATCAACATTGCCCTTCCCAAGGCCATTGTCTCCGATGGCAATGGCAAGTACATTGTTCTGATCTACTTCGCCCTGTTTGGTGTCCTCCTCCCTTATCTGGTCGGCTCCTGGTGGTACGGCACACTTCGACGCTCCAAGGAGGGTGTTCTTATGGAGAGCGCCAACCGTTTGTTCAAGGAGTATCAGGACAACATTGACGAGGGTGGTGTAGTGGCGGCTCTCAGCAGTGGCCAGGAATTTGAAGACCTGTTCAAGGGCGACAAGGCAGACGCCGGCCTCTCCAAGATCGAGTCCAAGGTTATGGCTTCCGACGAACTTCCACCCAAAGAGAAGAAGAAGCTCGAGGACGTTGAGAGCGGCCCCCGGAGAAAGGCGCTCGCCCTTCTCTGGGCTTACCTTGGGCGCATTGAGCTCGGTGATGCTACTCTCGAGAAGGCCAAGTTCCAGGTCGCTCCTATTGCCCATGCTCTGAACAAGTCTTTCAATGCCATCGCCCTCGCCTACATGAACACTGCTCCCCTCCTCGCCTCCTACTTTGCCAGCCAGCGCCTCATCCAGGCCATCCCGCCCAAGGCTTCTCCTCTGTACCAGCTTCCACACTTCAACTCGGCCGTTGTTCGGTCTGTTGAGGGCGACTCCCGTGTCCACACCACTGTCCAGGCCTTCATGGACCAGCCTGACGCTAAGCGCCGCAGCCTTGTTGTTGGAAAGGGCCTCTTGACCGATGCTCAGTACAAGGAAACCATCGCCTATGCCAAGCAGCTCCCCTACCTCCGTGTCGCCAAGGCTTTTTTCAAGGTCACTGGCGAGAAGTTCATCATTCCCTCTTCCCTCGTCACCCTCGTTGTCAAGGGCCGCTTCGTTCCTCCCGGTAGCGAGAAGGTACCTGACGTCACCCCCATTGATCTCGAGGACATTGACCCCGCCGAAGACGATCTTGACGCCATCCTCGGCCGCAAGAAGACCAAGAAGGTCGTCGGCAAGGACGAAAAGGGCAAGCCCATCTACGAGGAGTCCGCCGAAAGCGAGGACGTTTACCCACCGCTTGCTTCCTCCCCTTACTTTGCCCGCGACCACAGCCCCAGATGGCACGTCTTCCTTACGGATTCCAAGCAAGGACGCGTGGCCGTGCCGCCTTTCACCTTTGTCAGCTTTGACAGGCCCATTTACGAGTCGGACGGCAAGACGCCGACGTTCGCCATGCAAACCATGAAGGCGCAGTTCCAGGCGCCGCCACAGGCCGGCCATTACACGTTCGTCATGCACGTGGTGTGCGACAGCTATGTCGGGTTCGACACCAAGATGGAGGTGACGCTCGTGGTGGAGGACGCGAGCCGTGCGGCCGAGATGAAGGATGAGGAGGAGATTAGCGAGCCTGAGGAGGGTGAGTTTTTCCTTGCCTCTTGCCACCATGCACCACATCCGCATAACAAAAAGCTGACCACAACTACTACAGATTCTATCGCCGGCATCATGAACGCAGCAAAGGGTGCGCCGACAAAGCAGAGGGTTGTCAAGGACGAGGAAGACTCGGATGAGGAAAGTGGGACGGATGATGATGAGGACGATGACACGAGCGACACCAACACGGATACGGAGCCTGAAAACTAAGTTTGGCTTTCTTTCGGTGTTTTCGCTTAGTCGTTCTTCATATTTTGTAAACTTTCTTTTCAACATCATCAAGAATGGGTGTACGGGTCGGTTGGTAAGGATAGGGTGGGGTGTGTGGTCTCCTCAAAAAGTGATGGAGCGGTTTTGACAGCGAAAGACAAAATCTCATTATAGTTTGGACAGTCTGTCTGGTTATTACAACTTGAAGTCTGGCAGGCTGTTTAGACTTTTACATGTGTACATAATCATCTTCTCACGGTACTGTAGCGGTTGAAAGCCAGGCGCGGATCCTCTAGATGAATGTTCGTGTGCCGCAACGCAACGCAACGCACTTAAGTACATGGGTATCATATTCTCTATTTACTTCCGTTTCGTATTTCCCATTGGTTTATCACCTTTTCCCGCCAACCCTCTTCTACTTCTTCTCAGGTCGTCCGCCGGCCAACGAACCCGATCCCACGGATCCAGCAATCCAACCACGAAACAGACAGAAGTCGAGAAGGGGGTTGTCAGGCGGCTTGGGTGGCGCCTTTTGTCAGCCCCCTTTGATTTCAAAAGTTAGGGAAATGGTCCAACCCCCAAACCGCATCACAACCCCCAAGTACGTGACCTGGTAACTGGGTATCCCATCCTATATAGAAAGATGTGCTAGTCTAGTTCTAATAGCTCTCTGTCTTTGTCGCATAATATTCTTGACTTCATTCCTTCTTGCACGGTCTTCATCCCCTCCTTGTCTTCCTCCTGCGCGCAAGTTCAAAAGGTACTTCCGAGCCACTATGCCGCTAAAATATGCAATTCTCGGCTCTACCTCTCTCCTATTTTCCTATTCCTTTGCTGAACATCGGCTACTTCCTTATCTTTTTCCTCATCCCACCCTCTTCTTAGGGGGTTGAAAAGTGCTAATCTCAATCCCAGTTCAGTCCATCCTCGTCGCGGGGCTGGCTGGCTGATAGGGTTTCACGCTGTCCTGGGCTGCTGCGCAGCGAAACGGGCAGAGTTCCACATGGTCTATCTGAATTTGCCTAGCTGTTGTTTTCCAGCCGAATTGTATTAAATCATGCGTTTAGGCGGCGACATGCATATCGGTTCCGGACGTCTTGGCCACGCTCGGGTGGTTGTTCGCAGCGGAAATTTCGGAGACGGACTGGCCGCGGGCCTTGGCGGTAAGGGCGATGAGTTCCTTAAGCATGAGGTCGCGCGTGTTCTTGCAGAGCTCGTCGACGTCGGCGGTAGTGAGGCCGGTGGTGTCGATGGGGTCGAGGACTGTGAGAGAGGCGAAATGGTTAGTATCTCGATAATACAGGGAGGATGTGAAGAAAAATGAAGGAAGGGAGAGGGAGAGGGAGGAAAGGTAGGGGTTATATTTACCCTTCATCGGAATGACTCCGGCGTTGAAGACAAAGTCCTTCACGTTAAGGACGTGGCTATAGTTGGCAACGACAACCGGCACAATGGGAACCTGAGCCTGGACAGCCAAGTGGAAAGCGCCCTTCTTGAATGGTAGCAGCTCGGGCTCCTTGGAGTAGCTCCTCGTTCCCTCGGGGAACATGTAGACGCTCTGCTGCTTCTTCTGGATCTGGTTGGCGGCGCCGGCCATAGCGGCGCGCGCGTCGGTCTTGCTAGCGCGGTCGATGAAGATGGAACCCGAGAGGGACATGAACCAGCCGAGGAAGGGGGTCTTGCGCAGCGAGCTCTTGGCCGTAACGGAGCAATACTTGGGGAACATGCAGCCCAGCATGAGCACGTCGAGCTCGGTCTGGTGGTTGCCAATAAAGACGGCGGGGCGGGTTTTGCCGAGGATGTTCTTGGGGTCGTCGATCTTGAACCGGACGCCCGTGGTCAGCGCCATGACGTACTTGAAGGAGCGGCCGACGGCCCATTGCGCGCTCTGGCCGTGACCGAGCAGGGAGAAGGCGATGGAGGTGATGACGCCGAAACCGGCGCAGAGGAGCAGCGAGAGGTAGCTGGCGAGCGAACGGGCCACGAAGGCTGCTCGGGGCAGGATGAGGGACAGCATGTAGAAGCCAATGGTGAGGGCGACGCAGCCTTCGAGGAAGTAGACCGGGTAGTAGAGAAGACTGGCCATGACAGCGGTGACTAGACACCCAACGGTCCCAGAGGTATGTTTTTATTCCGCAAGTGGGACTCGGAAGGGGTTTGCGATGCCGCTAAAACGGGGTCTGCCCTGCTCAAAGATCGGGACGTCGCGTGTGGTTGGAAAATATGACGCAGGCAAGACGGGGGGTGCTAGATAGCAGTCGGGGAAAGGGCAGTAGGATCGGATATGCGTTTTCGTCGGATCCAAGTCTGGGTCAGTATGGTTAAGAGGTCAGTTTCAGAGAAAGAAAAGACCATGACATGGTCTGCTTCCGAAGCAAGACGGGAAGGCACAAGCACAAGTAACAACAGCCGGTCGGCGGACTTACAGCGGCGCAAAGTGTGCAGCAGTCTTAGCCTTGCAGCGTGGGAAGGAACCGAGATGTCGGTTGTTGGGGAAAAAGGTATCAGGGACTTGGTTGCTGGTGAGAGAGAAAGAGGAAAAAGGCTGGCGTGACGCAGGATCTGGTGTGTAAGACTGGAGGTAGCTTCAGTTGTTTGAGAGTGACTGTGATGGATGAAAGTAGAGAGAAGCTGTATTCACGTTCACCGACAAAAGAGATACGAACAGGACGACGGCACAGGAGAGGCTGGACACACGGCACAAGCAATAAGACGAAGCAGCTGAAGCAGAAGCAACAAATGAACGACGTAGCCGATGGGATGTTGCAGTTCTGTCGCAAGCAATTCATCGGCACAGGTTGGGGATTCAAGAGTGTGGGGTTTCTGACTGACTGCTGATCATGCCGTTTGATTGGTTCATGCAAGTTCCCAGTTGCGGTGCCTGTCATGACCATGTCTGTTGAGGCTGATTTTTTTCTCTTCAGAACCCTTTGGAATCTCTTTGACCAGCTGGGCGTATGATTAGCCGGGCCCAACGAATCACACTATGTATTGTTCGCAACGGCTGAACGAACACTACGTACTCTACCAACACTGATTTCATTGCGCTCCATCAGCTATCATAGGGCCGGCCCTCCATACAACCTACCTACGAGACTGAGAATGGGGGGTGTCTTCACATGTCAGCATTTGCGTGTGTTACCGTGGTGTCACTACGAGCGGAGTTGGGCGTTCAACAGGAAATCCGTCTTTGGGGACGGGATCTGATGACATGATGCCAGGCAGGTACCAGTGGTGCCCCAGACTTGGCCAGGCCAATCCTTCTTCAGGTGCTCGACCGCGCCCAAGGAATCTGATCAATTGGGTTTAGCATGCTGCGTACCATTTGAGCAGGCCAAGGCGTTACACTGATACGACAATTACGGATGTAGGGGCCATGTATTGTAACGAAGTTTGATACCTACCACCTACAAACGCTCCCCTCGTTCCCCTGGCGTTCAAGCAAGTTCTTTCCGCCATGGCCCGCATCAGATCATTTCATTCCTATCCCTCCCCTTGCCGTCACGAGTCGCCGTCTCACAGTCGGTCACTGCCCAGACACCAACTACAGTACCTGCTAGAATAACAAACAGCGACCGCTCCGGCGTTTTGACCCCCGACTCCAACACCACCGCCGACCGCACAACATCACTTTCGTCGTCGCTTGTATTCATTCTCACCGGCGTGATCCTGTCCAGTAACGCCTTTGTCATACAGCTTAGTACACGCGCCGCCACCCAGACGACCGACCGACCACTGTGTGGTAAACTCACGTGTCGAACAATTGCGATTGCAATTGACCACTACACCCACTGCATGGTCAATTGGTGGGGGGTCCACATGATATCATGGTCTCAGTCCAGCACATGCGACTGCGATAATCAACCGCCCGTCTTCTCCAAAAGACCGCCGACATAGCCCTACTTCCAAATTGCCAATTGCCAGACAGCCGCCATGGCCCCCTACAGAGGGCGACAGCCGTCCCTCTCCTTGCGATTGCCCCAGCCGTCGGCCTCGGCTGTCCTTCCCGACCTGCCTCCCATATCGGCTCTGTTTCTGATCGACTTCGATGTCAAGGCCGGATATACCATTGTATGGAAACGATCGGTCCCCGGGCTGGAACTCGATGGCGTTGTTGAGTACAAGAGTCTTCCTTCCGGCCTCCATACCGTCACCGACGACTTGGTTTACTTTGTCCACGAAGGGGGGCATGCTGGCTTGAGCGCCTTTGTCAACGCCAGGACAGATGAGGAGGAAAACCGCCATGCCCGTATGATTGCTGTTGGGGTCTTGGTTCCGTTGGTATATGGACGGCTAGGAAGGTCATGGCGCCATGCCGACCGGCTCAAGGATATTGCTAGGTAAATAACCGTGCTGTGTGTTTCAAAAGGCTTCCAACGTCAGGGGCTAACACTGGACGACATATAGCAAACTTGTTGTCGACCGTCAACAGACACATCTGCTGGAGGACTATTGGGCTCAAAACGGGATGCAGGATGGCGCTCACCCGCCGCCACTACCGGAAGCTGCGCTGGACTCACCCGCCCTGAGCTACAAGGGGGGCCGTCCCGGGCCCGGAAAAGGCCATTCAAGAAATAGGTCTGCATCGGACGGCACCGTCTTGATGTCCTCACCTCACAGACTCTCACCTTATCACCCTGCTTGGAGTTTAACATCGCTTCTTGATACATTTGGACCCCTTATCTTTCCCATCCACCGTGCTGCCTTACTACGCAAGCGTATACTAATTTCTACTCATGCTCCCGTCCATGAAGCTTGTAATTTCGGTACGTTGTGTGGAACCCTGGGTGACTTCGGTATAATCTTGCTTACATACCTTGCTTAGTGTACAATCTCTCTGTCCTATCCAACATCCCTTTGTCAGTCTCCGATCTGGTGGATCCTGCGGCATCGACCCAACGTCTGCGACCGCTATTCAACATTGGTGTCCACGATATTGGGTATCTTCTAGAGCACCACGCGGCATTGAAGCGTCATCTCAGGGGCGACAACCTCGAAACCGACAATGATCTTGCGTGTGGTATTACTGCGGAGGAGGCTGCAACCGGATGGATTGCTTGTACAACAGATACCATCCTCACGATCAAGGATGGTCTATGGGATATGCTCATTACATTGCCGCCACCACACTCGGGCAACGCAAAGGAGCGCATGTGGCCAACTGTCGAGTGCCCCAAGGGCGTGCCAATCAAGGCTACGCAGCGAGATCTGAGGAGGTTCAAGTGGCTGAAAATGAGCCTTGCCCGGATTGACCCAACATCAATGACCACACCCCAGATTCTTCGCAGTCCATTATCTGACAGAACAAGCCAGCGGTCGGTATCAACGCCTCACGTACTCAACAGAACGCCGACAATCTCCCTGACCAGATCAACCGAGACCTCTCGACCGGTCACTGCGACATCTCAAACACCCCCTCTAACACGCGCCAACTCAGACGATGACGCCGAGCGAGTCGTGGAGCCGACTACATGGGCAGCCCTAGCCTACTCTGGGTTTATATGGTGGGCCTCGGCAGGCGAGCAAGGCCACAGTGATGAGGTCGACGAGATGGCGCACGACAACAGATTGCTTGAAGATCTTACAGGCAACGCCCCAAAGATGGCAGGACGCACACCTAGGAGGACAAGTTTTGGCACTGCCTCTTCGACCGGCAACAATATCGAAGAGGGGGGTATAACAGAATTGGACTCATCACCTACCGCCCAGCAAGACGGAGCACGGGAAACATCCGATGAGGAGCAGGCCCGCATTGAGCTTGCTATTATCGCCTACTTCCATCGTCTAACTACATCTGTGCTCTCTGTCTTGGCAGACCTCGTCGACAGTGCAGATGATGATGATCTGCTCGACCTCGACATCGACCCTAATGCGGGTGGTGAGGAAGAGTACAGGGATGATTATCACGATGTCGACGATCAGACTGGATTGCTATATAGTCAAGAGCGATCCGGAGTCCAAGGTAGTCATCGTGAAGGTGAAGGCGAAGACGACGAAGCCGAGTATGAAGGCTGTTTGCGGGGGTGGATAAGAGTCGACAGCGAAGCACTGGCACACATGGGCCTAGATGTGTGGAGCAAGAGCGACGCAGATTTTGTGAGCGAGTTGACAACGAGGTATTTTAGGAGGAGGGCGTATGTGGAGAATAAGGGTGTTGAAGTGTGTGGGTTGAAGGTTTGTTAGCCTAACCCCCTTTTCAATCTGTTCTTGTTTTTTTGTCAAGCGGGGCATCGGCGATGGGTCTCCTTTTCTTTATCTTTGATTTGGCGGACTATTGGGGTTGTATGGCGTTAAACCTTTTGGGATGGGAAAATGGGACAAAGTATTTGAAGACCGTATCATGTTACATATGTTTTGTTTCATCCGAGTTCTCGTATCGACACCCCTATAGGTTACCCAGGAAACGACGGTTTGGTAACCCGCACTCAACGCCCCAATTCAAATCCCATCAACCCTTCATTCACTCACCACCCCCCTAGGGCTAAATCTTTGCCCCCAGCGGCCCCAGCGCCCTCAACGCCTCCCTCGACCCCTCCGCCGTCTCCTTCACAATCTTCACCACCTCTCTGAACTCGGGAATCCCCGCATCCCCCATGCACTCATACATCCACGCCTCGCTCGTCGTGACCGTCACTCCCTCCTGCCTCAGCCTCGCCAGCGCTACGGGAACTTCTTCCTTGTTACAACTCGAGACCCCATCCGCAATCACGTAGATCTTGGTGTTGGGATGCTTCTTCCGCAGGGCCAAGCACGTCTGCGTCACGCAGATGTGCGATTCGATTCCCACCAGAGCAATGTGCGAGGGGATACTAGAGGGCGAGGAGGAGAACAAAGAGGCGAGAGAGGGCGTGTACATGGCAAAGAGAGTTTTGTCGAGGTCGGCAGCGACGAGAGGGTGTAGGCTGCTGCTGCCACCACCGTCTTTTTGGGTGAGAAAGGGTTGCAGTTCGGAGACGGTTTCGCCTAGTTTGGCCCGGGTCTGGGTGGTGACGTAGATAGGAATGTGAAGGGCGTGGGCGAAGCGGAGGAGTTTGGTGGTAGTTGAGACGCTGGAGATGGGATGCTTGTGAGATGGGGCTGTTAAAGTTAAGGGTGAGGAATGGGGAAACCCATTCAATGATACTTACACTTTGTCAAACTCATAGATTGCGTTGCGGAATTTCTCTTGAATGTCACATACACTATAATTTATTGTAAGAGTGAAGGAAGTTGAGATTGAGGATTGGGGTTTGTGAACCATGGACGTTGACGTACAAGAGAGCTGGCTTTTCTGGTATTAGATAAAATGGTCAGTTTAATGAAGTTTTTGAAGAGGTGAAGAGTGAAAGGGCGTTGTAGAGCGTTTGGGACAGCTTCCACATATGAACATACCGAAGGCTCTCTGTTTCGGAGTTGAGTCAGTCATGATGGATGAACGTCGTGTTTGTACAACGGGTAGATGGTGGGAAATTGCCGAGGCAGATATCGCAATGGTTGATGGTCTGTAAAGTGATTTAGGAGTTATGCTCCTATATAACAAGGACGAAGCAGGCCTTGCGACGAAGGACACACTCATGTCTGATCACAGGGAAGGCGGGGAAGGGCGAGGGGTACCGAGTTCCGGGGTAAGATATGCGGGAGGAGGTTGCTCTATTAAAGTAGCGGGTAGGTAGCCGAGTACATGCCGATCTAACCCCGCATCCCGAGCTCGCTGTAGCGTCACCGAACGAACGACGGGAGCGGTCGGCATCCATTGAGACTCGACATAGGTCTGATCTTCATCTAGATACCCTCAAGCATACTTCAACATCGTTCGTATTTCCATCCAAGGTATCTCTCATTTCTTCTCGAGTCTCAATGTCTCCCTGCTTTCCATATCACCCAAACACACGAGCTTACGACAACCGAGTAAGCTTAGCACTCTTCAGCCACCCCATCCTTCCCTGCCCCGTCTCCCTCCTAATCTTGAACAACTCATCCAGAAACGCCGGCACAAACGTTCCGGGGCCTTGAACATCCCTTCGTTCAGCCGCTCTCTCCGCCGCAATCTCAAAGTGCAACAACGCCGCCACTGTGGCCGCCAGCTTATCGTTGGGGAAAGCCGCCACGAAAGCCGAGATGGTCGTCCCCAGAACGCACCCCGTTCCCGTCACCATCTCCAAGTAGACGTGCCCGTTGTCGATGCGGAACGTGTGTTGCCCGTCACTGAGGTAATCGACTTCGCCGGTCATGACGACTACGTTCTTCTCGCGCAAGGCAAGTTTGCGGACTAACTCGGCCTTTTGCGAAACTTCTAGCTCTGCAGAGGAGTCGACGCCCCGTTGTTGGAAGGTTTCGCGCTCGTAGATACCGTAGACGGTGCGGATCTCGCCTTCGTTGCCTTTGATTATGTCCAGGTAGCCGTGGGAGAGGATGGTCTTGACGGCGGAGCGGCGGAGGGTGGTGGCGCCGGCTCTGCAGGGGTGTGGGAAATGTGTTAGTGGTGTTCCAGAAGCCTCGACGATGGTCTTCTGTTTTTTTTTAAGAGACGAAGATAATGCTTACCCGACTGGATCGTATACAACCGGTTGGCCGACCGAGTTGTACGCCCGCAAAGCCTTGAGATAGTTCTGTAGCCCGTCTGGGTCGACGGTACCCATGTTGACGACTAGTGTGCCCCCTAGCTTGCACAGGTCGAAGGCTTCCTCTCCGTTGTTGGCCATGATGGGCGATGCCCCGATGGCGAGGGCCACGTTGGCTGCGAAGTTTTGCACCACCTATTCACATTCCAAATCAGTCAAGTGTTGTTGAAAAACACAGAAAGGCGCATAGGATTGTTGTGCCCACCAAGTTCGTCATGTTATGCGAAAGCGGCTTCTTCCTAGCAACCTCCAGAACCACCTCCGGTACAAGTTCAAGAATGCTGTCCGCCGTCTCCGCCCTCGGGCTTGTAGCTTCCCTGACAAAAGGCGGCTGCGAGTTAAACAGACCGAGCAAGTTCTTCGCTGCCGCTTCTGGGTCTGGAGCAGCCACGAGGGCGCTCACCACCGCGACGCCATCGAGCTTCTTGCTCGGGGCCTCACTCTGGTACACGATCCGCTGGAGGTTCTCGGCGTTGATGCCACCAATACAGACGGTCCTGACGTGGTCGTACCCGGCATCCGCCATGGCTTGGAGAATGTCGCGGACGCCGGCGGCGCCGATGATGTTCTTGGTGTTGGTCTTTCTGTGGGTATGCGATTAGCGTCGAATGCATGACGACATGTACGCTCGGCCTCGGAATCATGATGAGGTGACGACGGTGACATGTGGAAGCCTCTTCTTTCTCTCACTCACGTCGGAGTGGCATAAACGGTGCCAATGCCAAGGTAATCTGCGCCGCCTTTGCAGGCCACCATGGCTTCTTGTATGGTGCTGACCGTGACTCCGATGATGGCGTCAGGGCCGAGCAGCCGCCTGGCGGTGGATAGTTCTGTTGGAAAGCAAGTTAATCCTTTTGTTCATTTCTCTCTCTCTCTCTCTCTCTCTCTCTCTCTCTCTCTTCGATCATGTCCCGAGCGAGTGAGAGAAGCTGCTGATGATGAGCATAGGCAACTAACCCATATCATCCTGCCCAATGTGAACACCCTCGCAGCCAACCGCCAGAGCAACATCTACGCGATCGTTGATGAGCAGCGGGACGTTGTACTTCTTGGTAATGGCGTGCAGCTTCTTGCCCATGGCAATCATGTCCCCGGTATCGCTCGTCTTTTCGCGGAGCTGGACGATAGTGGTGCCACCCCGGACCGAGGCCTCGACGACCTCACAAAGGTCCCGGTCGCCGAGGATGGCGGGGGTAGAGTCCGTTACTAGATAGACGGCATAGTTTATGTTGTTCCGGTCCATCCTGAAGACGAAACGGGATTGCCGCTGGGAGGGACGAGGTGGGAGAGTGGTGGTTGAGGGGCTCGATCTCCAAACATAAACCCGGACGCCTACTAGCGGTTACCAGTAATGCACGCTTCCTTGGGGCTGCAAGCGACAAGCGTACCGTAACCGTACCGCTGACCGTCTGGCTTGATTTTTTCGAGAGCCAAGAGGGGGAACCTGTACGTAGTGTAAGTATCTAGGTATTGCGTGAATCTGCAAGTGCGAGTGGTATGGATTCGAGTGATTTCTTGTAGGCGTCCAGTGTTCGGCTAGCATAGGTTTACTGTGTGTGGCTTCGGACAGGAGGCAACATATATCACTTAGCGTTACACCATAAAACTGCTTGAGCTTGGCAGTAATTCATCTCGATAACTATTCTATCGATCATGCATCGCAGGTTAAATGTTTTGAAGCTTCACATGAGATCCTACACTGCCGTGGTTTTCCTAGTAAGTGGTAAACTTACACAGTGCGATGAGTCTCCAATACGTACGCCATAGCTTAATGCATTACCGTACGTTACACATGCAGTACCGTGAATCATCAACGATCTTAACGAGTCAGAGTTGACACTTGAGGATTTCCAAGCCGTCATAATTGTTTCTAAGCATGTTCATATCGCTTTATGGGTTTCCGATGCCTCTCTTTTCCAGCAAAACCCACCCCGCTCATTAAACCCTTGATCCGTAACCGTTTCATTGCCAAGAAATGCCAGCCCGTACCTTGACCATCAGATTAACATATGTAATATTACAGTACCGTCTGTCACCAAAACACCACCGCCTAAGAAAGAGCAGGACTCTTCCTAGCATTGACATATCTCTCTACGTAGTTTCTCTCCTTTAGCAACCACCCGCTCAACGCCAGCGCGCCAGCTTCCACGGGGATCAGCAGGATGGACAGGTAGATGCCTGCCTTGCTCTGCTTGCACAGAGTCCCCCAGTTTGGCTGCGTCCACATGGGAACCGCACGCCACCGGCAGGTCCAGGACAAAAAGGTATCGACAGAGTCAGAGGCGTTGACGGAGTAGAAGAAGATGACGGCGATGAGAGCGGCGACAAGGGAGAAGAAGGGGAGCGCAAACGATAGAGACACTTGGACAGTTGAGCTTGTGCGAAGCTGTTGAATGATGTGTTAGTTTTAGCGGTCTTGACTACAAGAATGGGTGGAGAATAGGAAGCCGACATACGAATTGTACCTTGGCAAAGACCAAGGCAACCATGTGGAGGACAGTGATGATGGCGCTGCCGGCGACCAGGGCCACGGTTGGTCGGATGTTAAACTCCTGAGGCCAGAGGGACAGGAAAGACCCCGGTAGAGGCTTGGTGGAATCGTAAACTGAGAGAGTGTTGGCGGAGACCCCGAGGACGGTAAGGCCCATCAGGAGGCCCAAGAGAGTGATGGCTGTTTGAACGCTGTCCAGAATACGGACGGTGCATAGCTTGTTCTGCAGGTGCTTGTCTCGCGAGGCATCTTCGAAGATCTCAGAGGTGGAAGGCGCTTTTTCGGACGACATGATGGTGAAAGTCTTTGAAAATGGGAGTAGACCGATGTGAAATTTGACTCAAAGTGTATATGCTGTTGTGTGTCCGTATCGATATAGAGCACTGCTCTGTCCTTGGTGTCTAGATGTAGCAAGACAGAACGAAGGGGCGCCAGGGAAGGGTTGCTGGCGGAAGGATATGAGTGAACTTGGAAAGACGAAAAGAAGAAAAGAAACAAACAGCTCAACGGTTCGATTGAAACGGATGGAAGGTTGTCTCTAGGAGGGAAGATCGTCAGGACTCAGGAGCACGGGGATTGTTCTGATACAAATACCTCTGACGGATTTCAAACTCAATCTCTTAACTCTCATCCATAGGGCGGCTAACCGCCATTGGCACAGCGCCGGATATGCCAGCAAGGAATCTGAGGATGGGATTCGGGGATCTCTTAGATCTCTCGGTGCTACCGTCCGGTAGCGTACCCGCGCACCTAAACGCCCATCATCTCAGGGTGCATCTCGCCTTCAGATAGATAAGCCATCCACTTGGAGAGCCGGAGATCCGCGTTGCCGATGCAGTGCTGCGAGGTAGGGGGTTGACGATGCCACCCTCCCAGTTGCCTGTGACGGATTATCTTGTTTCCCTTGATGGTCAATTATCCCTCCTTGGTGGAAATGATAAAAGGAGATGGGGACCCAGAATAGTGCCCTCTGACCATCAGATTGGCTAGATTGTAAGATACATAGACGCAGATGAATATGCAGACATGCAGTGCGCGAACTTTGTGTGATGAGCGGTCGATGGTTGGATTGGTGTTGAAGATGTGCCGGCGCTTACTGGCGACGAAGGCGGGGGGGTTAAAAGCCGGTCGAGAGAGATTGTGAGAGTTTCGACCAATCATAGTGCGTAACTCATGGCTGAAACAGCATTGGTGGCTCGCTAGCGTCTGCGGTGCGCTTCGAGAGCCTGGCCTAGAACCCAAGATGTGGGAGCCCTTGCAATTTTTAGCGGGCTAAATTTGTCTTGGTGGGCAAATTGATTACGCCTTCTTTTCATTGAGGATCATCAAAGTTGCAAACTCTCTCGCATGTCAAGACGGGAAACTTGAGAAACATTAATCTTGTCGGGCGGGAGTAGAGTATTCTCTGTCACGTCACAATGACAACTTCTTCTCCCAGTCGCTAGCGAAAAGTAAGGGACCAAAAAATCTTTGCATGCCTTCTAGCCAACTTCTCGAAAGCGCTCAAAGAGGGCATGAACTCATTAGAGACAAGTCCATCCGCTACATACAGCTACCTACCTAGGTAAGGAACCTTCAAACCCCGCAATCCTTCCTCACGCTAGGAAAGACCACATCCAAAGGGACCACTTTCCATCGAAACCACCAAGGCCAGACAACCGCTCCTACACCACCGTCATCCCACAATCACTACCACCACGGCTACCACTACTGTTACCGGATTCATTTAAATCCGAGTCAAGACTAAGACCCAAATCCTCTATCAAATCGAGAATCAAGTTTAAAGAGAACCATGATGTGCAGTGATGAGTGATGGTAGCGAGCGCGGAGAATATACGGCGGAAGTTGATGCGTTGGTGGTGGGAGTGGGCGAAGAGGTAGACGACGGTTGAGAATGTGACTTCCGTGTGATTAGTAACTTAGTGGTAGTAAGGTATGTTAAGTGATTCTTCGGTTCTTCCCACACAAAACACCATATGAAAAAAGGGATGTTTTCCGATCTATCCAAGATTGAGAGAGATTTCTCACAATGTGAACACATAGCATGAGGTTTATCAAGCCTTGCTCTTCTTTGCCCGATAAACAGATAAACAGTACCAACATTATCACCATTGAACGGCGCGGTATGACAAAGTATAGGAACACAAGTGTCAAGTATGCGTAATGCCATGATACAGAGTACCGGCAGTCAATGCCTATGTAAGACAACTAAACAAAACCAATGCTTTTCATACGCCCCATCCTTTCTTATGCCATCCATCCATTCCGTGTCTTCCGTTCCCTTCCGGCCAATTCACCCACGTATGTATGTATATATATATATATATGTATACAGTAGTGCCCGTGTATAAAGATGTCTTGACATGCTACGCGTGAAGGATTGCAAACACGACGCGCAAGATGTTGATAAACCGCCGCACACGCCATATGCCCCCCTCCCAGCACTAATGATAATGTAAACTGCCAACCAAAATATACTGTTGCTCTCTAAGAGCAGGACACATCGAAAATCGCGATGGTATCTTTGTACTGTCAGTGTATCACCTTATCACCTCGCGCTCTTCTTCTTCCCGCTCCTTGTTGTCGGCGCAACCTGGACTTCCACCTCTTCCTTCGCAGCGGCCGCCTCCTGCTTCTTCTTGCTTTGCTTCCTATTCCTGGCCGGGGGTGGTTCCTCTCCGTGGAGATGGCCAATCTCCTCAATGGCCGTGGTGTTGACCCATGCGAGACATCTGTAGGCTGGTGGCTCGGGAGTGACTTGTCTGGTTGTCGTGGCCGCACGGCTGTTGTTGTTGCCTCTTGTGCTCCGCTTGCCCCTTCCTCCTTTCGTTGTTGGCTGGACGGGCGGCTCCTCGACGACGGCGGCCGTAGTGCTGGCTTCAACACCCTCCATCGCATCTCCACCCGTGGCGCCGTTCTCTTCCTTTTTCTCTTCCTCTGTAGCTGTATCAAGTCCCACGTAGGTCTTGCGGTTCTCCATGCCCTTTTGGATTCGGTCCCTGTAGTTGACGAGTTCCTTCCTCAGCTTAGTCTCGTTAACACCCCGCGGATCCAGCCACTCAAGGAGCTTATCCACGTCCTCCGCACGCTCGTAGAAGCCCCATTGCGTGGCCTTGAACACGCTGGTACCGCCTTCCTCCCTCTTCTTCCTTTCCGGCACGGTGATTCCGAACTTGGCAACATATTCGTTCTGCCACTCCTCCTTCATATCGATATACCCCTCGCGCTCCAGCTCGTCCGGCCCCTGCACCCAGATACAACCGTTCGCGTACCCCGCATGCGCCGTGGAGCTGTCGGGTAAACCACCGTACGGCATTCCGTTTCTCTCGAACCAGTAGTACCTGTTCCAGAACCGGTCCTTGCCGAGCACCCTCGTGCGGGGGCAATCGGCTTCTCGAAGGTCGTTGTCGATGATGGCGATCTCCTTTTCGCATTCCGCAATTTCTTCCTCCTTCTTCTGAATATCCTTGAGTACCTTCAGGAACTGCTTTGATTGCTTAGGCACCTTGGCAGCGGCCGCCGCCGCTTCGGCGCGCTGCTTCTTCTCCTCCTCTTTGCGCTTGCGCTCGGCGGCACGGTCGTTGCCACGGCGCAGATTACGCAGGCCGTTAGTTGGCGTCCCGTCGGCATCCTCGGCGTCGGAGTCGGGGATTTCGTCCAAGATATGAACCCCTCCTGTCAAGGAGATCTCATCAACATCCGTCATCTTCACATCGCCGTTAGTGTGCGCTCCGTTGACGCCGTTGACCTTAGCTGGCTCCAATTGCGGACTCGGGGGCAGGTTGTCCGGGAGTAAGATCTTGCGTTGGTCGTTCAAGTTCTTGAGGTCCTCAAGACTGTAATTTACGTTAGCCAATTTTCGGTGTGCATCACCAAATCAAAGGACTTCAACTTACGCTTGTTTCCTCTTCCGCTGCCACTCAATCTTCTCCTTCCGGTACGCCGTCATCTGCTCGCTGCAATCCTCCATATACCCCCTTATCGCCTTGGTCTCCGCAGTGAGCATGCAGATGATCTGCAAAGCCTGAACGCGATAGTTCACATCGAGGCTCGCATACCGCGCGCGCACCGTCTCGCGACTCGGCTCTTCATCCTCGACAGGCACAAGCTGCTCCAGAAGCTCCTCGCAGCTCGCGTTCAGCCTTTCGTTCTTGCTCAGCTGGTGTAGCAACCCGACCATGATCAGCTCCCAGCCGCCATCCTTGAAATCGCGCTTCCGCAGGTGCTCGATCCAGTCGTAATCCTTCAGAACCTCCTCGGCACGGTGCTTGGGCGCATCTTCGGCCTCCTGCATTTCCCGTTCGGCAGCAGCAGCCTCGGCAGCTAGTCGCTCAGCCTCGAGCTTAGCTAGGCTGCTGCGTGTCGCGCGGGCGGTAGGTAACGACTCGGGTTCAGGGGTTGCGGCGGCGCTATCTTCTTCATCCTCCTCTTCCTCATCCTCCTCTTCAAGCTCGGGTAGCTGAATTTGGACCTTACCGCCGTCGGCCTCGGAGCTGACCAGAATCTTGAGGACAGCGCAATGAATCTCGTTGAAAAGCTGTACCGGCATCTCCTCCGAGGCGAGCTGCATGGCCTCCACAAAGTCATCGAAAGTGAACGAATCCAGTTTGAAGATCTCGCAGTAGACGTTGAGGGTATCCCAGGTCTCGAGAAGGGGTCCTACCGACTTCATGAGTATCTTGCCATCGAAAGGCGCCTTGAAAGTGGGTTCCAGGTCGACAGGCGGATCGGCACACAGGTACTTGAGTTGCGGTCGCACCAGGCCGCGAGATTCAACTTGCAAATCCTCGATCGGGTACTTGGGCGGCGGGGGCGGCGGGGGAGGCTCGGGCGCGCTGTATATAGGAGGTAATGTGTGACTGCGATATGACAGAGGGAACTGGAATGGATTGCCCGGCAGTGGTAAGTGCATGAACCCGCCCGGCTCGGGGCCGTTAAAGAGGTTATGTTTCCGAGAAACTACGCCACCATTCTGCCGTGCCTCTTGAGCAGCGGCCTGAGCGGCCTGCTGAGCCTTTGACTTGTGACTCTTAGGCGCTGGTTTCAGTTCAGGAAGGCGGACAGGACCTGTAGGACTAAATTGTCCGGGTGAGGCAGGGGTGTTGTGGCTGGTGTGGCTATTGAATTCCATACCCATACCGCCGGGTTGCGTCATCCTCTTCTGTGCCTGGATTTGCTTTCTCTCGAGCAACTTGTTGTCGTAGCGCAGATGTGGCGGGATTCGAGTGTCAATGTGATATCGCTCGGCAATGTCGGTCTTGACTAGCCAGGGAGCGCCGTTCCAAGCCTCGCGTGTTACTGTCTTCTTGATGAAAGAGCGAAGGACCGACTTGGTGAAGACCTTGCGGTCGCGGAAGATCTGAGAGTCATTGACGGGCACCTCCTCCTGCCGCTCTTTGAGACTGACAAAGTAGCGGGAATACGGGGGAGCGGTGGAACCATCAGGCAGGACCGTGCCTCCGAATCGAGTCTTGTCCCGGACTACACCGTGTAGTTTCTCTCCATCGATGCTCACGGTAACAGTCTCACCCGGATAGTAGTCGTTCTTAAACTCATCGTAGATCTGATCAACCAGAGTGTCGATGCGAGACACGGTTTGGAACTGAACACGTCGAAGAACAGGACCCTTGAGGGCCTCAGGAAACGCCTGCTCAACCTCAGCTGCCCCAGCAGTCTGCAGGTGAAAGGGTTGGGTTAGTCCTGTATGGAAACGAAGAAGGCTTTCTGGAGCTTCGCATACCTCACTTGATAGGGCTTCAAAGAAAGTTAGACCAGAGTGACCTGTGATTGTGCAGATGAATCGTTTCTGTTCTCAAAGTGTGAGTGCATATCATTCAGGGGTGACTTGTTTACTTGCACAGCTGTGCTCACCTGATTGTAGAAGTCCATGCTATCTCCAAGTCAGCTTTCAAATTCACACACTGTTGACTTAATTATTTTGCACATACCGGTTGAGGTATTCCTCATATGTTACGAAGATCTCTCCCGTCTGAGGGATGTGCCAAACCTGTGAGGCAACGTGTAAGCTGGCGACTGCACGAACACATGAGAGGGTAAAAGGGGGAGAGCATGCATACCTCTTGGTTGTCATCTTCAATATTCGGAACAGTCAGAAACTGCACCGGCTTCCTTTTGAATAGGACCTAGTTGGTGAATATGGGGTAAGCAGCTTGATCCAAGTGACAATGGGGTTCTCGGGAAAATCAAGTACCATGATGAAAGCTCGCTCCTCGAGATCTCAAGAGGAAGCCGAGTTAATGATGACCTTGAGTGAGGAGGAGAAAGGAAGAGAACCGACGTGAAAGCCGGAAAGTCAGACCCCAAAGATGACGGGGGTTAGTTTGAGCGGGGAGCAAGGCCGAGCAGCCTTGCACGTGTCTAGATGATGAATCTAGATGTTTTAGACCTATAAGAGCAAAAGTGGTGGTGAGCAAGTGTGTGATTGAAAGAATTGAGACGCGTTGTTGCGCCCAAAAGAGCGGTGTTGTGGCTCATGTCGCGATCCGTGATGGTCGGGTGGAGAGAGGGGAGTTGGGTTGAACAGGGTTGTCACGGGTGTGGTGTGTGGGTGCCTCGAGGGTAGGGTGCTGATGCCGGTGCTGGGTTTGCTAGGTGCGTGGTGTGGTTGGGGGGGAGGGGGAGGATACTTGAGAGGAGAGGAGGTATGAGGTATGTGCCATGTGGGTGGTATGTGGAAAGGTGTAATATCAAAAGGGAGGTACATACGTACAACCGCCCTACACTTGAGGTGGCCTCAATGCTGCTGCTGCAAGGCTGATTGAAGACTTTTTGGACCCAATGCTGCGCTGCATCCGTTCAAAGCCTCGAACTCGTTCCCTGGCGTGATGGTTGGAATTTGCGCCAAATCCAAATGGATGGAGGCCGGGACACGGTGGGTTAGGTTTCGGATGCCGGCCGGAGGTTGGTGCTTAGGTAGTATCAAAATTCCATTCAATATCCCGAATATCTCGACTTTGGAAGCGACAAAGTGGTGTGTGTGGTTATGGTGGAACGGCCGTCGTGGTCGTGGTGGGCGGCGGCGGATGGCGGTGCGGGAGCAAGTGCACGAAGTTGTGGGAGTTGGGAGGAGGAAAAAGTTGAGCCAGGGCCCGGGGGGGAGGAGGGGAGGAGAAGAAGTGGAAGAAGTGGGAGAGGGCGGGAGTGGAAGCCCCATGGCGCTGGGGATGGTCGGGTGGAACGAGGAGGATGGACGGCAAATGGGAGCGTGTGAATGTACCTGAGAAACCTGAGGGCCTTACCAGTCCGTGTTGGCGTCCGGGACCCGTTGGACCCGCCAGGGAGGGACGGGATGAGGGATGGCTCCAGCTCCGATGCCAGTGCGGCCATCCTACCCCCGTTGCCTTAGAGTAGTGGGAGCCCTGGCCCTCTCTTTGCCCTCCTCCTCGTCTCCCGTACTGGCACCGTACTTGGCCTTCCCCCCCGAGCACCCCCAGGACCACTTCGCAGACCCTGCCGGCCGCCCACCCGACAGCTCCCCAACGTTCGACTACTTGCCGTGCTCGCCGCGACGAGGGCTATCTGCTGACGGTTGAAGCGTCCATTTTGGCCCATTCTTCAATCATCTATGTTGGCGGATGCACCCTCCAAATTTTGTTTTCCGAGGGTAGGGGTCCGGCATGCACCACTTGGACCAGACAGGTTCCAGGCAGGGCGGCCGCTCTGGAGATGCCGCGCGATAGAGCGCGACTTTGATCTGGGATTCCACCACCGATCCCGCATATCGATCCAAGTGCACCGGTGTCCAAACTGCCTCCCTTTTCGTAGATATATCGCTATGGACTACAAGGTTCTTGATTGAAAGCTAGTCATGACCTTCGACCAAAAACGACAACGATAGAACCATCTTGGCGGCAAGGCCAGAAATGCGCCTGGGGCGCGTGTTGCGTCTGGCAGTGCATGACACTTGCTCCGCAGCAAAGTACCGCGCTAGCAGGCTCAGGGATCCCGTCTTGACCTCGACCCCTCGAACAGGACGGGACCACGGCCACCATTTTTCACCTCTATTCACTGGCCCCTCCCCCGATTGAGGTGCAGAAACTTCTTCGGCAACTCCTAGGAAGAGCTTTTTTCAGCAATCCGTCTCAACAAGCCAGAGCCAGGTATATAGGACAGACTAAGAAGCACCAAGACGAGCCACGAGGTTACAATATGATATGAGATCGAAGATCCGTACTTACAGATCTGATATCGGATGGCAGATGCGCGCTCAGGGGCGAACAACTACCAAGGTACCTCGATGTTCAAACAACATACATATCGAATTCCACCAAGCTACCAAGCCACCCCTGGATTGTTTCTAATCTGTTGCTTCTTCCATTTCGTGTATACATGTATATACCATCTCGGTCTTTAAGTCAACTGGGAGTGGTTGCACACGGTCCATCACATGTCTTATGCTTGGACATTTGTATGTAGTCTTCCCAAAGAGTACCGACCGACATGTACATACACGTAAATGAGGTGCCAAAAGGCCAAAAAGAAACTGTGAACCTGAACCACTTGCCAGGGCCTTCCCGTTTGTTTGTGCAACCAAACAACCGATTTCAAGCCGGTCAATGGTCACCGCACACATCAACAACAGGGGCTGGCTGCCCCGGGCTAGGTCCAACACAGCACATCACCGAGCGAACCGCACTGCATCTCACAAGGGGTCCTGGGAATCTTTCTTGGCTCTCAAAGGAAGAAATCGGACAGAAGCCCACAAGACAAGAAAACACAGTTGCCTGCCGGATCGACCGGCGCTGGGATGTGGGGCAGGTAAATACGTATTGATGTACACTACAAGTACACTCCGTACCGTCTCTCTTTCTCCAAATGGAATCTCAGCCTTGCAGAAGCAACGGACGTTCGTCTCGACGAATCGAAGAGCGCCAACGTTTTCAGAAGACAGCAGCAACCTTTTGGTCGAAACTCATCGGTCCATTGGGTGTCAATTTGAAAACTCAAGGTCGTCTTAGTCAGCCGCATTTGCTTGGTTTCAAACCTCCTCATACCCATTTCGGGAGGCTAGGCCTTGGCATTACTACTTAGTTGACGGCTACACCCGTGTCTGTAATGTGCTTACTATACCTGCCTACCTATGCAAGATTCACGGCACTTGGGGGTAGGAAGTGACAAAAGATCGCCAGATAAGTGAAGAAAACAAGAAGAAAAAAAAAACGCTTGAAAGAAAACAAATAATACTGGATTTGATGGCTTGTTACGCAAAGATTCTACTCTGTAAAATACACCACCATGAAGCCCAGCCAGCTACCGACGACTCCTATCGCCGAGTACGAGCTGGTGAACATCAACGGTAGAAACTCGTAGCTCTTGCCAAAGATAATACCATGCATCAGAGAGCAGTAGAAAATAAGGGGGATGCTGAGTGTGATGTACGCCGTGCTGAAGCGATCAAACAGGAACAGTCTTTGGCGGGTAGGTGCTGGAGCAAGACGGTCGAACGCCATCAAGAAGAGAACCAGCCAAAAGATGGTGTAGACCGTCTTGATGGGGAACTCGGCCGGCGTGAATATCAAGGGGAAGAGCGACACGTGGCCTGCCACAGCCAATGGTCTGAAAGCTCCCAGGTACCGTCGGTCCTTGAGCGCAATGAGGCTAAATGGGATGATGACCAGCAAAATGGCCTTCTCGTGGACGTGCCAGCCAAACAGAAATGAGGCGTATCCGCAGAGGGTGACTCCTCCGATGAAGCCCTCCCAGGTCGGCCTCATAAAGAGCTTGATAAGGGGGATGGCCTGGAAAAGGAGCGTCAAGACGAAGCAGATGCGAGGCGTGATGTTCGGCAACACCGCAAACGACGTGTCTCCGACGAGACCGCGGGTAACGCTGTTGAGCGCATCCGCCTTGATCGGTAGCCCAATCCTTGGCGCAAGGGAGATCAGGAGTCTGTCCATGAAGGAGTACAAAGCCCACACGTTGGGAGCCCAGTATGCGTGGCATAGACCTCGCGAAAAGGGGAACAGGCGGCTGAAGATTTGCGGGATCTGATTCTTGAGCGCAAAAGGGCCAAAGGCAGCCGCGAAAATGGCTGCGATTCCGCCGCCCAGCTTGACGCAGTTGAAAAACTGGATCCTGAAGATGGACCTCGGTGACAACTTGGGTGGAAGGCAGTAAACTCTGAGAAGGTAGACAAAGTAGGCCGGTGCCAGGTAGAGGTAGATGTGCTTCATGCACAGCAGGGCGGCAAAGACGAGACCACTAGCCAACAGAGACGACTTCTTCTTGGCCAGGACCAGAGAGGCGATCAGGATTCCGTACATGACGCCGTTGTACTGGAAATGAATGTGGTCGATGATGAGCAGACCGGGCGACAAGAGGATAGAGACAGCAGCGGCATGGGCTGCCCTCTTGGACACGCCAGGCGTGGAGTCAACAAACCTATTTAGCCTTTGGTTAGCACACGTACCAAGCTTCCAGACAAGATGCTTTTGTACATTTGTAGCGCATAGAGCAAGACCAGCTCCGTTACAATGACTGTCCATCTTTGAAAATAAACGGTTTGCCAGCTGTCGTACTCGAGGTTATGCACCCGAATCATGGCCGGATCGGCCAACCTGGCAACTTGCGACATGATCCATTCGAAGTAGGCGAACAAGGGGGGATAGTCCAGGGTCCATTCCGACGTCTTTTCGTAGTACCATTCCCAGAGTGGGAGACTGTGAGTGATGGCCAGCCAGTTGCGATGAACCTCAAAGTCGGTGGATTTGCTGAGGAGGCAGACAGGATCGTGTCAGTGAAAGTAACCTCTACATGTGCGGTATGGCGATAGCTCCTTTAAGGCGTGTCGCCGAATCATTGGGGATCGCCATTAGGGAAGTGCAGTGACGTGCCGGGGGAAAAAGGATGAAATGATGAAGGCGGCTGGATAGACGTACTAAGCCGGGAACAAGAGGATCTTGAAAGCCGTAGCCACTATCGCGCATTGCACGAGAGAAGGATACATCTCAGCCATGTCTCCATGCCGTAATGGCCATGTGGATGTGTGTAGTGGTGAGATAGGAGACAAAGGTGATGAAATGGTGAGTATAAAGGAAGTACAGGGTGTTCAGTCTGTCCTGGTCTATCGCTTGTCGCAGTCTAGGGTTGGGTGTCTCGGTTGCGTGTAATTTACGATTGGGGTCCGTTTTAATTGTTTCATTGCCGCGGCCGTTCGTGAACCCTGACGGCCTGGCTAGGCTCTTTCCAGAATTCGGATTGAAGTTGCCTGCCGCAAGGGGCTCGGATGTCGGCATGGCACTGCACGTAACGAACTTCAGGTAAGCCACATTCCGTTCCAACTGAACCAACTTAAGACCATTACAAACTGAACTCAGCCACACAAGTTGAAGCTGAAGCGAGCTTTTAGCCACAGGAGGCTCCCCGCAGACAGGCACGCGCTGGACGTGCGGAGAGGGAAATCCCTGCTGGTGAATCAAGCTCCTGCAGGGGAAGGTTCGGTGTTTTGAACTTTGTCGGTTTGAGAAAGCTGTCATTCCGAGATGGCACAGCCAGCAGCAGCAGCAGCAGCACTTGAACGTTCTCGGAGGTCGCGCGAGTAATAGACCCCTAGAGTCTTTTCTGTACATTCCCTTTTGCTCTCGACTCTCTCAATCTCAAGCACCCGTCATCATCTCGTCTACACCTTTGTTGAATCTCTTCTGGAATTCGCTTGCCGCTTGCCGTCCTATCCTTCTGTACTAACACTAAGTACCCGACCTGTCGACGTACGGGTATCCACACTTCACACACCTTGTTGACCTCTCCTTAGTCTTGGCCGGGCGGCTTCACCGAGCACCTAACTCCTGCAAAAGTGTAAAGTGTCCTCAACCAACAGAAAGCGGCTCTTCACTCTTTTCCTGTGACTTTTGCAAATAAGGTGACAGCCGATATCAAAAGGCTTATCAATTTCTTTTCGTTCGGAATTAGGTGGCCTTCAGTTCGGACTGAGCATATCGCACCAACAGCTCTTCGGCCAGCCACCAAGGTTCGCACGACGACTGTCGATATCACCGTCACACTACAGTTTGCACGATGCGCTTGTTGGTGGGCATTGTCGCCCTCGGCAGCGTCGCCGAGGCTGCCCAGTACCTTGTCAGTGACCTCAGTTTCGGGTTTGGCGCGAGGTACGTTCAGCGTCAACTGCACACTGCAAACGAACTCCTGCTGCCGGCGCACATCAACTAACACCTCCCCCTCCTCGCCGCCTCAGGATAAACCCCGATGGCCGTAACACCATTCCATATTACTCTATGCAGGGCAATCCCAATGTGCCCGAATTGCTCTCCAACAAGGTCATCTTGACCCCTCCCGCCCCCGGTAACCAGCGCGGTGCTGTCTGGGCCGACAAGCCTCTTGAGCACAGAGCCTGGACGACAGACATCGACTTCCGCGCCAATGGCCCTGAGCGAGGCAGCGGCCTTCTCAACATCTGGCTTGCCAAGGATGGCGCCCGCAACATCGGTTCGCAAAGCATCTACACGGTCGGCAAGTTTGAGGGTTTGGTGCTTGTTGTCAACCAGCACGGCGGATCGGCAGGCATGATCAGGGGCTTCCTGAACGATGGAACTCTCGACTACAGCAAGCGCGACAACGTCGACAACCTCGCCTTCGGCCACTGCTGGTTTGCCTACCGCAACTTGGGCCGTCCTTCGCAAATCAAGCTGCGCCACAACTCGCAGAATTTCAAGGTCGAAGTCGACGGCCGCCTGTGCTTCGAGAGCGACAAGATTCACATTCCCACCGGCTACAACTTTGGTCTTTCTGCCGCCTCCGCCGAGAACCCCGACTCGTTCGAGGTCTTCAAGGTTGTCGTTTTGTCTGAGGACGACATTGGTGCCGTTCCCAACCAGCAACAGCAACAGCAGCAGCAGCAGCAGCAGCAGCAGCAGCAGCAGCAGCAGCAGTCAGGCGAGAACCAGAAGCCCCTTGGCGGCACGACCCACGGCCGGTCGGGCCAGGCGGCCATCCAGGACCCGTACGACAACGCAATCCCGGACGCCGAGGCCAACAGTATCACGTCGTCCAAGGCGCAGTTCGAGGACTTGCACACGCGCATCCAGTCCCTCAACCACCACCTCTCGTCCATCTTCCGGTCCGTGGCCCAGTACGGCGGCATCGCCGACCAGAACCATCAGGAGGTCTCGGTCATGCTGGGCGAGATGAAGGGGCTCCTGACCAAGCTCGACCGTTTCGCATCCGTCGAGAACAAGCTCGAAAACTTGGAGCGCGAGGTGCGCAGCATGCGCTCCGAACTGACGGCCCGCCTCAAGGAGAGCGAGCATAGCATCAAGTACCATGTTACCGATAAGCACGAGGATTTGGCAGGTCATGTGGTCAAGCACGCGGCGCCGGGCCACACAAAGTTATATTTGGCGATCGTAGGCAGTCAGGTGGTGTTGGCCGCGGCGTACTTTCTTTATAAGAGGAGGAAGGCTGGTGGCCCTAAGAAGTACTTGTGAGGGGAACAAGTCTGACAAGGATCAGCCGGGAGAGCGAAGTGGAAGGTGTAGGAAGGTGGAAGTAGGAGAAGTGTCCAGGGGTCTGGCCCTCGTTGTTGTAAATAATAAATGGGCCTAACTACCCCTCGAATTTCGTTGGATTTGGCTTTTTTTGCATGGCGTTGTTACTGCGTTTAGGTTTTGTGTTGTGGGTTGAGTGTAGATTCTCATAGCGTTGAATATTGCGGACATCTCGAAATCTTCCATTATGCGTTGCATTTATTTGTCAAGTGTCTCAAAATAGGATAGGTACCGATGCAATTACTCGTCAGTAAAATTTGCTGTAATCAGTAGAGGGCTTCAGGTACCTCTCCCTGATTATTCCTACATTTCAGTGATATTCAGTTACACGTAGCAGCAAGTTACAACAAGTGAAGAGAAATATTTTCCGAACTTACCAACATCTATGTTTGCATCGTCAAAGCGATGTGTCAGGGGTCAGCCTCCATTGACGAAGGAGTCAAACCTTCAACAGCCCAGTATGGAGTATCTCCATGAGAACTGTAGCTTAACTTTGTTGTTGTCATATAGTCAAATCAAACTGCATAAGGCGAAATTGAACAGGTTTCGTTTCGCAAAACCCGTTGGCTGATCGGCTGCGTACAACATATGAATGACTGACTGTCCATCAGAACCCAACACAGTATGTCTCAAAGTTGGGATAAATTCACATTTATGAATATATATATACAAGGAATGAGGGTAAAAATAGAGAGAGGAGAGAAAGAGAACCAGAAAGGTAGGTACCAGACCCAAGGTTCCTAACGAGGGATTCACGCTATAAAGGTTAAAGATTATTCTCCCCGGCAAAGCAAAGATAGCCAAACCCCCTCTAGTTTTTAACACATCAACAATGTTGACGATATCCGACTTATCCCTCCTTCCAGTCAGTTCTTGCAAGTCGAAGAGGAGAATCATAACCGGAAGAATGTAACTCTTGTTCTATCTTTTCTACTTTTACCTCTATGCTCATCATATCGTCCATACCGGTCTAAATGAAATGGTATAACTAACGTAATGAAAAATGACCGATCCGTCACGACGCCTGACCGTTTCGTGCTCGCAACAGCCAACCCAACCAACACCACACATATGCCTGAAACATTCAGTCATACCGCTCCCGTGCAAGTCCTTCGCTTCACTCTTCGTTCTCTATTCCGGGGTATCTCAACTCAACAAACCCAACTCTTCCTTCTCCTTTCCATATTTCTTTCTCTCCCTACTCTTGGCACTTCCAACCCGAACCGTCTGGGTTTCTTTCCTCTTCGAGGGCCCCCATCTCCTCTTCAACAATTGAAACTGCGACTGAAACTTCTAATCCCTCTCCGCTACCGCCGTCCCTTGCTCCGTCCTTTGCAACTCAACTCCATTCCCATTACTATTCCCCTCTCCCTCGCCTTCACCCAAAGCCTCTACCGCTTCTGCCTTCTCTGCTGCCTCTACCGCCGCCTCCCCTTCCACCCCACCTCTTCCAATCCCCTTCCTCCTCCCCCTCACCACGGCCTCCAACGCTCTCCCCACCGCCGCCAAATCGCCCAACATACTGACGTGCCCCCGATCCGTACACACCCGTCCATCTTTGACCAGCTCATACCCCTCGGGTAACATGCTTTCGCGCGCCAGCACTACCCCATCACCGCTGGCAAACATCAGGTCGTCGTACGCATCCGTGCAGGCGATGGCGTCCCGACAGGTCACCCGGGCGGCGTACACGGTAGGTATGTCCTTGGCGTAGATCACGGCGAGCGGAGGGTAGGTGTTGCGATGCTGGTGCGAAGGGTTGTGGGCCAGTTCGGAGCGGAATTGTTTGGTTTCGCGCAGAGTACGGTCGAGGTAGCGGATGGCTTGGGAGTGGGAGGAGGGGGTGCCGTTGATTGGTGGTGCAGCTGGTTGTTGTTGGTTGTTTTCAGGGGTATCGGTGGCGGTTGAGGAAGAACCCATTTGCGGGGCGAGGGTGCGGTCTTTGAAGACGGTGTTGGAGGGTGAGAAGCTTGCGGTGATATGTTTGTTGTTGCTGCTGCTGCTGCTGTTGTTGTTGTTATTGTCGTCGTCCTCGCTAGTTCGGTTCTTCCCGCTGTTGCTGCGACCACGGAAAGGGAGGCTAGAGAGGTTGGGGAAGGAGTCGGATAGACTCAGAAGACTGCCGAGGGCGCCGGTGCTCTTGGACGGGTTCAGAGGCGGGAGGGCAGGTCCACCGACACAAGGAGAGAGGCGGTATTTGATCCAATCGTCTACATTGTAGAAATCTACCGGATACTCTTCCTTGTTGTCCTTGGAAACAAAGCAGAAACCATCTTCAGGTAAGAAGATGAAACTGCTTCGGAATGAGAAATTAGACTGCGCTTTCAAGACAGTCTCATTAAAGAGAACTGCATCTCCATTGCGTAAGGGACTAATAGTAGGAATTTTAGTATAACCCTACACCCCTAAACAATTTCGTTAAACGTACCCCAATATGTTGATGCAGCGGTTGGGAACTCCGGCGTATACGATCCCTGAATAAAGTTCTGGGCGCTGGTTGACGGCGTGCCGGGTGATAAGACCGCCGAGACTGTGCGCAATAACCCAGACGCCTCTTTGTTCGGGTGGCGTGTGAGGCTGGTTGGATGGAAGCTTTTCAATGAATTCGTTCAGTTTTTTCGAGAGGCGATGGGGGCTTAATCGCCAGTCGTAGCCATAGTCATGGACTCTGAGTTTGCCATTTACAGAGTTCTCACACTCCCGGAGCTTCCTAAATAATTTTCTTGAAATATCAATGGGTCCAATATTCTGGAGCATGCCCGAGGCAAATATGTATCTCTCCATGTTCTCCTCATCCTCGGGCTCCAGGCCAACCTCCATGTTCACTTTGCGGATGTTCAAGCCTACCTTGACTGGCACCCATAACTGTCGATATGGGGGCTCAGCGGACCGAAGAATGGAGCCTCGATATCCTCCCATGACCACAATGTCTCCTGTTAGAGTCTCCAGAATCGCATCAAGAGGATGAACGGTCTCCCGTGACGGCCGGTGGCTACTTGACCCTGGCGCCGAGCGTGTTCCATCTGTACCATGAAAGTCACTTGCCGAAGGAACCACTTTCTTCAATGGCGATGTGATACCTGCCTCCGTCAGTTTCCCGCGGCTTATGGCCATCAGTCGCGTAAATGACGTACTCTTTGGTAGTTGAGGGAGTTTGAATGACGGCTCGAAGCTGTCAATTATAGCTTTTATCCTGGTATTGACCTGCTCACGAACATTGGCGAAGCGCTCATCATCTCCCAACGAGGAAACCCGAGTCAAAGATTGATACAAGAGGGAATCATCCGAGGTAGAGTGACGAAGGGTCGGGGTCCTTGAGGCTCTTAGAGATGATGACCGGACGGGACCTTGAGCCGTGGCTCCTCCTGGTGTGCTAAGGGGAGGCCCCGTTTGGGCTCGGTTCGACCGTATGCCAGCTATCGTGGACGATTTCGGAAGATGTGGCACTGACGGCCAAGTGGAAGTGGATTCTTTGTGAGAAGAAGAGCTGGAGGAAAAGAACGAGGGCGTAGGTAGCGATATGGATGGAAGAGCCTTGGACAATTTTTTAAGGGCATTCTCTCCGGCTGAAGCGGCACGAGATGATCTTGTCTCATTCCCAAACACGCCGAACATGGAGGAGGTTTTGGCGCCATGAGGCTGACCAACAATCATCTGCTTGGGCTCAGCCCGCCATGGTGTTGGAAGGTCCGGAAGGCGCGAGCTGGATGACTGACGAAAATGGCCACGTCTCTGTGGTTTCCTCGGGCTCATAGGTGGGCTGGGATTACCAGATGTCTTTCCTGAAGACTGAGCCCTGCCTTCGTCATCCATGAAATCGAAAAGACTAGGAAGATAGTCCATGGCAGCAGCCTTCTCAGCAGCCGGAGTGTTTGGCGAGGTCAGACGAGCTGCTCTTGCGCTGATGGCCGGCTGAATGAAGGACTGAGCACCGTCTTGGTCGTCGTAAATGAGGTCGTCTTCATTGTCGTCGGAATTTTGCGCGGCAGTGGTGGAGGGCTCGTGGGGCTGAGAATGGGTTGAGCTTGAGACCTGGGGATCGGGAAGATCGAGCTTGAGGGGTACCGCTGAAGCTGAGGTAGATGGACCCGATGGGGATAGCGGGCATGCAGTCGACGTGGGAAGCGTAGAAGTTTGAGGCTGCGTGGGAGTGGGAGTGGGAGCTGTGCCGCCATTGACGGTGACGGGGGCAGCTTCCGCTTCCAATGGCGCCCCAGACGCCCCTAGCTCCGTGCTCATGTTGACCATGGATGACTTGCACAAGAACCAGACAGTTGACTCGTCTACGTCCTGAGGAAAAAGTTTGGTGTTGGTCCGGGTGTTCCGGTCAGGGGAGAAATGTGTGGGCGACGGTCTCGAGAGATGGTGGGAGGTAGCGGCGGTAAGTGATCGGGTGGTCCCAGTTTATGCTGACACAGTCTGCATAGTTTAGGTGATGCAGACAGCTTTGTGTCTTGTATATTGCGTTCCGTGTATAAATAAAGCGAAAATCAAAAAGAAAGGACAAGGTACATGAGGGTCTGCCTAGGATGAGAAAAGAGCGAGGCAAGGGTCAATAATAAAGTAGGTAAGCGGACGAGGGGGGCTTAGTCCAGTCAGATGTCAAGGCCTGCCTGGTGGTGACAATGATACCCTGACGCCTTGATCCATGAAAAGTCCACTTGGCTGTGGTTATTTTTTTTTTTTTTTTTTTTTTTCTTTTTTTTAGATTTTTTTTTTTTCTTCCAAAAGGAAAAGTCGTGATCTCCACTCCGAGTCCCGTCGTCCGGTTCACTCAAACGGTCATCTCGACGACGGTGTTCATCTCACTGCTCGTGCTCGAGGGACGCACGGAGTTTCCATTAAACCCGATGAGACCAGTGAGAGAGAGAAAAAGACGGGACCAACGGCGGTAGCTTGCAGGGTCGGGTCCGTCCCATCTTGAGGTTTGTGGGTCCATTCATCTGTCTTGGTGATCAGAGCCCGCTCCTGTCATGCACTTGCTCACTGCACCTGCCAACACTGCTGCTCCCTCCTACATGCCGTGTGTATGCATACATTCCACTTTATATCTGTGGTGTCATTTCCGCAGTATTCAGTATGGTATATGCCGTTGGCCTTTTCCACTTTCTCGTTTAACCGGCGGTTTCGAGGGTTCGGTGTTCGACTATCCATCTTAATGCTTGGGTCCATGCCTCTTCAGGCAATCGGGCCCGAGGGCTGAGGGATCACAATGTTCCACATCTGCCCTGCAATAAGGCAGCAAGTTTGGATGATTCCTTGCCATTTGATATTCTGCGAATCACCTTCCCACTGCTTCCCAACGCGTAATGGAAGGCGCAAAAGGGATGCGGGAAAAAGCCTCAATCTTGGCTTGCGCTTACGGTATCCCAGCTTCGTGATTGTTACCTAGCGGCAGTTGTAGTTCGTTCCTGTTCGGGCCCTTGATTCACCACTCAAGATCACCAAGATGTACTTCGTTTCGTTCTGACGTCATGGCGCTTCGAGACGTTGAGTGATCACAACTAAGCTGATCTCGCCGTTGGCGGAGCGAAAGGAAATTGAACCGCCCACGCCGTTCGAGCACCAGAGCCAATGCCGTACGTACGTAATAGATCTGAGATGCACGACAGACGGGATCCAAGAAAACCTGGGGAAGTTCCAGGTCTCGCCCAGGGGCCGAAATCCCTCTCTTCAATACAAGCTTCTGCAGCACGTTTCTTGGCCTTGGTCTTACCAGGGCTGACACACATCAGACGAACTATGTCGACATGTATTTTATTAGGGCTGAAAACGTGCAATATCTCGGCATTGCTGTGTCGATCAACCCGGTCCTCCTTTGCTTCACTGAAGTGAAGCGAGTTTGATTGATGATTTGCACATGGGAGGAATCACTGCCCTGCAAGGACACTCACAGAGCGAAAGCGGAAAGCTCCCACAATTTCAAGCCCCACCACTCCATCCAGCACCAGATAAGCTTGCCAAGGCCGCCTCGTCCGCCTGCAAGTTGACGCGATGTCACCACACCGGAGGCTTGACAACCTCCTAGGCTCATCTAAGAAAAGCTTGGTGACGGACACCGGGCAGGCCGACGTCTTCCACCTGTGAATCCAAGAGTTGGGAAAACGAGAGTGAATGGATGACGGTACAAAGGAACCCACGGTGACTCGAACTTCAATCATCTTTCGGTCAGCTAGCCATCTGGATGAGATTCGACATCGTCTTGTGCTGTGACGGCAAGGAGTCCCCAGAATATATGATCGTTCCCCCTCGAGTTGACAGATGGACGAGTCAGAAAGCTGAAGAGCGAATGGACGGTGTGAAATACCAGCTCATAGTGTAGCTCGCGGGCACGGGTGGTAAACACCGATGGATACCTATACATATTCCGCAGACCGCGACAGGTTCGTTCCGCCGAAGGGCAGGTCCGAGGTAAGATTGGTAAGACAGATACCACTTGGTCACAAGCTCCGGGTTGATTTCCCCAGCCCTTTTGTGCCTCATGGCTGGAATCAAACCGTGACGGTGACATCTCCATACTTGTGCTACTCGGGTGCTCAACCATCATAGAGTGATACGTAGCCTGGAGGTTTGCTGGCATTGAAGGGTCCACGAGCAGAAAGTCTGGGGACCAAAAGGCTTGGCCCCATGCACGTGATCCAGCACGCGTTTTCACCTAACAACGTCGGCTACACCTGCACCACTCCGCCAAGACTCCACCTCCATCGTCCACTCGCCTGCCCGGGGACCCAGAACTGACCCATTCGACATCACGACCCTTCCCGGCGCAGTCCCACACCCAACTTCACTGAGTACCACAGACATCCCAGCACGTTAGCAACAGCGCAGCGGAACTCATTCAAAATGGCGGGCCTCGAGCATTACAGTTGGTTTTCCTGCCCCATTTTCCCGATTGTCTTGCCGTGTGCAAGTGCGATTGTAATGCGACTGATCGCATTGCATCGCGTAGCAACAACCTCTGAATGTCGAGAGGGACCGAAATGCTGACCACTTTGCGATTTGTACAGAGCTGGCCCAGGACCCGGCGTTCGTTCGCCTGTCCAGTATGTAGCCCTGAACCGTTCCTTTCTTTCCTTGCGACTACTCCACTTCCGGTTTCCGTACCTACGAACGATGAAAGGTCCATGTCCACCATGCTGTGCTGTATATCGTATCTCTACAAGCGCAAAACGCTGGGGTACAAGCTTGGCTTTTGCTGGACGTACCAAACCACTCTATAGCCTTATATTATGGCTCCAAAAAAAGGAGGGAAAACACTAGGGGAGTGGCTGTACAAGAATGGAGGAGTCAAGTATCATTAACACCAATATGCCTTCTCACTAGACATGACCAACAACCGCTACAAGTACTTCCGTTGGACTCCCCGCACCGCCGGTATCACTTTCGCCTACATGGTTGTCGTTCCCGGTATTCTTGGGTACATTGCTTACAAGACTGATGTGAGTTGCGTTATCTATATGTCTAATTGACAGTGACACATGTAGAATACATTGAGAGGGTGAGTTACTGACAAAAGACACACACATAGGGCAAGTACGACTTCCGCGCCAAGCGGAGAGGTGATGACATGCGGGAGTATTAAAGAGATCTTATGAGAGGAATCAAAGGGGCTTGCGAGGATGTATACATGTGGTAGACTACTGGCCGCCGCTCGTAAAAGAGTCTGAGGGGATCACAGAACCCGAGGAGGCTGGGCCGCATGGAAACATAATATTAGAATCACTCCTCCAGATCGCTTGAGTTCTTGCGCGCATACATCCGGAATGGTGATACCGAGCCAACATCTCCTTTCTGCTCTTGATGCCGTTCTGGCGCATTAACTGCCATCAAATGATTTCTGTGTCCTCCTCTTCTTTTTTGGAAGTGATCTCAGGAATCCACCAAAAAAAGGATACACCCTTGGTATCCAACATGCACCATGATAATTCTGGCCTCCACCAGCCCGTTGCCGTGGGCACTCGTTCTCCTCTTGCAACTCAAAGTCTCAAAACCCTCTCCTCCAATCCCCCTGTGGCATGATACCAGGCTCCCTCTGGCGATTACTCCGCCCGCCCCTACTTTCCCTCCGTCCTCCCCAGTCATACGAGTTTGATTCATACCGTCCGCCACCACCACCATTACCACCACGGTATCCCCTCGCCTTGGGGGGCTCATCACCGTATCGATCTCCCACCCCCATTCGATCTCTGTAACCTCCCTCTCTCTCTCTCGGCCCCGGCGGCGGCGGCGACGCAGCCGTGCTCCTCCCTTCCCCAATCCCCGATCCGCGGCCCGTCCTTGCCGCGCTCACCGGCTCGACCGCTCCGTCCAGGTCATTGGGTGGCAGGATCGCGCAAGAAATAAAATCGCCCGGCATAAACTTGGCGTCGGCTAGCGTCCTGTGGGCATCGTCGTAGCAAGGGTCGTCGTCGGGGAGCCCCGCATCCGCGTTGGCTCCGGGTAAGCCCGCGCCGATCACCACGCTTCCCAAGTCTTTGGAGACGTGCCGAGAGGAGTCCTTGCGCGTGTCGACGTAGATGAGCCGGAAGACGAGGCGCGTGCCGATTGCTGGGTGGGGAAGTAAAGAATGGGGTGACTGCTCGTTGGCGATGTCGAGACTTAGTTCGTCTAGGGTGGTTGAGCGCCAGGCGGGGATTTCGACGTAGAGGGGGAGGTGCGAGTCTGAGGTGAATTCGTTCATTCTAATAGAGTGTGTCAGTTTGGTGCCTGGGGAGACATAAGGGGGATACAGATGGAACTATACCGATGAAACGCGCCGGTGCGGTAGTAGAGCCTGACAATGAACGGCGGTTCCCTTGTGACTGGAGTAGCTGGGTCGTCTGACCGAGCTTGATCCATGATGGCAGTGAGTTATCGTACAATATAATGCTTTTCTCGGTTTGTGCGATGCGATGTGCAATAGCCCGTGAATGGTTTCTGAAGCAATGATGGAAGATTGATGAAGATGCTTAATTGTTCACGACATAGAGTAGAGGTTAAGTTTGGTGCTTCTAACACGATGCAGTCTACGACCGGAATACAAAATATGATATGACGTTGTGTCCCCAGGCATTCTCATACATATTCGAAGATATGAAGTGCAGATGCGGCTCACAGTGATGCGGGATTGTGGGAGCTCTAGCTTCCATTCAGGAGCCCCCTCCCCCCCTCGTCTGCGCCGCGATCCGACCCGTGGACATCGGACAGGTGGGGGGGGGGGGGGGTCAAGTGTACCCGGGCCGGTTCTTTTGACGCCGGGAATCGGCAGGCGCAGCTTCACAAGTTCACATGCCCGCTGGGGCTGAAAGAAGTCGCTGGCAGGAGCTGACTGGTTCCTTGCGCTAGCGTATAGCGGCTCAAGGCTGGTTCCACGGTCAGGTCCCACTGCTCCGAAAAGTTTAATGGAGTCGCACCCGAGCTCCAGTGCAACGTCCGCCCCCCGTAACTTCAAGCTTGCCTCAACCAACCTATTTCACCACAACATCACGGCAGATCATCAGAACCTACCATCAGAAGCCTAGTAGAGTACCCACCCCAGTTTTGGCACGGATATCACAACGCAAATCCATATCGACCGCCCGACAAAAGACACAGATTTCTGTAAAACTTGATTATCAAGAGGAGGAGAAAGAACCTTCCCCCAGCAACACCGCGACAATGGACTTCGCCGCCCTCATGTCCAAAGAGATCGCCAAGGCAAAAGGCACCACCAGCAACACCACCACCTCCAGCAAACCAACACCATCAACCATCACCACAACAAAGGATACTAACACCAAACCCGACTCAATAGCCGTAGGAGTCGGAGCCGGAGGAGAGGGTGCCGCCGCCGCCACCGCCGCCCCGAAATTCATCTCCCGCCGCGAAGCCGAAGCCCAACGTCAGGCCGCCTACCTAGCCGAGCAAAAGCGACTCGAGGAAGAACGCGCCGCCAAAGCCGCGTTGAAGCGCAAGCGCGAAGAAGACGCCATAGAAGAAGCCAAAGCGCGCGAGGAGAAGAAACGTCGACTAGCCGAGGAATCACGCGCCCGCCGCCTAGCCAAAGAAGCCGAAGAAGAGCGCGCCCGCCGCAAGCGTCTCGGTCTTCCCGAGCTACCTCCCACCCCTTCCGAATCCGCTGATAAAGAAGGGACGCCCGCCTCCGGCATCGACGGTTCCGACCTCGACGACGACGACGATGACAAAGCCCATGATCTGCCTGACGACGAATTAACCTCCAAACTCCGCGCCCTAGGCGAACCTGCCTTCCTCTTCGGCGAATCGCACCTCTCCCGCCTGCGACGCTATCGCAAGGCCGCCGGCCTCGGCGCTTTGGGATTGCCCATGGGCCCCATCACCACCTCCTTGCTCCCCGTCGCCGAAAAGGACATGAAAGTCCCTGCCTCCTCCGCCGAAATCCCTCCTGCCACGGACCGCAAAGCGCGCCGCTACCTGTTCCGTCAACTAGCTTCTTACTTTAACATGGTCCTCCGCGAATGGGAACTCGCTCTGGTCAAGGAAGACAACGCGGACACGTTTGCGGGGCAAGCGGCGCGGAACGCCATGGTGCAGTCGAAAGAAACCATGCGCCCTCTTTTCCGCAAGTTTGAAAAGGGGGATCTGGAGAAAGACATCTTGGAGGCGATTGTGGAGATTGTGAGGGCGGCGCAGGAGAGGAGGTATGTGGATGCCAATGATGGGTATCTGAGGTTGAGTATCGGTAAGGCGGCGTGGCCGATTGGTGTGACGATGGTGGGTATCCATGAGAGAAGTGCTAGAGAGAAGCTGCATGATGGAGAGAGGGGACATATCATGGGTGGAGAGGTGACGAGGAAATATTTACAGAGTATCAAGAGGTGTTTGACGTTTGCGCAGGTGAGGTGGCCGCCGGAGGATATTAGGCAGTTGATGGGTTAGAGTCTAGTGGGGGAGTAAGATTCGAAGAATTGCCATATTCGATCAGGGGAGGGGGAGGAGAAGGAAGGGCAAGGGAAGAAAACAGTGGCCGTGATACCCATATTGATTTTGGAGACGATAATTGGACCAAGTCTGACACTCCGAGCTCGGGAAAACAAACCCCGGGCATGAAATTGTGTCTTCAGCTTGGAGTAAATGTTCTTCATTGATTGTGTGAACCTAGAATAATCATGAAGGCTTTCAAGCTACATCCCTCTGTTCGTGAACGCCAGTAGCATAATAATGTAGGAAAAATCCCCGGTCAAGTTATACTGCCCGGAACACCAGACCGTCCAAATATCCGTTCCTTTATCTTAGGCAGCGTTTCATCTTTTTTCCTTTCCCACCTAAGAATACTGTTCACGGCTCCAGCGAGCCTTATTCCTGCCTGATACTAGGGGAATCCCTAGATAGGTTCTGACGGCCTCGTTATTGAGATCGGGTTCCTAGGCCAAGCTCGCAGTGTCATCCGTGGTCATGCTGAACGAAATGTCGTTCATCCCTCCAGGCTTGCGAGAACCTTTAACTTCAAGATCGGCAGCCATGATGTTCATGCGCCGGATTCTGTCAAGGGCTTGTTTCTCGTAATTCTCCAAGGTCTGGAGTGCCTTTGACTGCATTTGCTGTCTAGAGTCTGTGGAAATTGGGGTGATAGACTTTGTTGTTGTACGAAGAAGTCTGGTCAGCATGAAAAAAAAAGCACTGCGCTGGAGAAATAGAGGCAGGTAGTAACGAACCTTGTTGATGGCATCGATCCGAGCGTTCAGCTTCCCGTCTTCGATCATGGTAAACAGCTCGTCCTCAATCGAGGGGCCCGGTCCGTTGAAGGCCTTCTGCATTGTGTCCAGCCTCACGCAGGAGAAGGGTTTAAGGTACTGGACGATGGACTTGGTGCGGATGTCGGCGTACAGCTTGGGCACGTGCTTTTGCAGGTAAATATCGAGGAGGTAGTCTGGTCGGTATGACTCCAGTATCTCTATGCACGCCGCATACCTGCCGTTCACAAATTGTGTGATCGCCCGGCGTATGTGTGGTTCTCGTTGCAAAAACTCGCGGAAAGAGTCATTGTCCAAAAGGTTGGCCTGCAGCTCGTGCCTATCCATAGTGGCAAGCGCCAACAGACCGCCGTAGATGGCAACGTCGTTCGGGCTGGCAATCTGGTTGTAAATCTCGGGAGGCACGCCGGAGCTGGCTTCGACAAAGCAAAACGCCGCCTCCTTGTAGCGTTCCTGACCTAGCGCCGCGATGCCATGCGCAATCTTGCTGTATGTTTTGAGGGCTTTGGCTTTCGGGTCTGAGTCGTTTACCGAATTGAGGGGCTTCAGGTGATTGCCGATGGATTTCCAGTCGCGGCGTTCAATCGCCACTCGGACAAGGAGCTTCCCAAGGTCGACAAGCTGTTCTGTCGAGCTAACATCCGTCCTCATCTTCCAAAAGCTATCCATGGCAGCCTCGACATCGCCGATGGCTTCAAAGTGCTTCCCTAGATCCTCATTGCCCATCTGTAAGAAAAAATCGCAAAAGTGCATCAGCTTAGTATCGTCGTTCTCACTCTTGTCCGGTGGCACACAAAGAACATACCCTGATGCTTTCTTTGATCAAGTTGTTCTTGTAACCTTGAAGCTCTGCTTGTAGATGAGCCGTAGTGTCTCGATTCTCCTTTTCCTTGGATTCCATCCATGCCTTATCCAACGAGGCTTCGGGCTCGTTGGGAGCTGCTTGGAAGAGGGAGTTGACTGCCATTTGGTACCTAAGAATGTCGCTGCCAGCCTTGGCCTCCTGTACGGCAGCTTTGAGTGCATCGACACATAGCGGTACCGAGCTCCTGCCAACATGGAAAAGACGTTCGAACCGTGTACGTCCTGAATACTTCAAGTCAGATATGATTATGTACGCCTGTGCTTGAGGGAGGAACGTATACCTTTGTAATTCTGGATGTAAAGATCAAGGTCGAATTTTGGTGTCTCTGCAAGCAGAACGCACAATTAGCACAGGTGATCACAAAGAATCGGCAGGTATGACCTAAAGCTGAGAAAAGAGGATGATATCTGAAGACAAGGGTGTATGCTGGAAGAGGGATGCTGTGAGAATTACCTTTGACGATGACGCCGCCTTGATCCTCAATAGCCGTGAAGAAGGCTAATTTGCGGTCGTCCATGTTGCTAGATTCGGCCGTGAAGCTAGACGTGTTGTTGATATGATGTAAGCTAAGCAAACCAAAACAATCCAGTAAATGATTGCTGCCGTTATGCTGTCGCTGCAGTGTAGGGTAGTGGTCGTGAAGCTATCACTCAGTCGTGGCTGATGGAGGGACAAGGGTACCGTGTAGCTGAGGTTGCCTGCGGTGGAGTGGCTTGGTGATGTGAACACAAGTGGAAGCTGAACGAGGTGGGATACAGGGATGGTGGGGGTCGTTCAACCGATGTCCAGGGGCATGGCCCGGCAGGCACGACAGGGCGGGGTAGCTGGCTTGCAATGTGGGGCCGATAATCCTGTCCCACAGGCACGGAATTTGCTCCTTCACTGCAGCACCCCCTTCCCAACAGGGTTGAGGTACAGATACCTCTACCGTACTTATAAATCTCGGGAAATTGAAGTTCGGTGTCATGCAGAAGACGCAGCCTGAGGTTTGAAGCAGAGGTTCAGTTTGCCATATGCGTTCTGGCTGTCGAAGCGCATCTACGTATGTAGTTGTTGCGGCACCTTTAATTCTACCTCTACATTCCCCAATCTCAAAATTCAGAAACCAAATGGTACTTTCAGGTTCCTTCGCCAGAAGAAACCAACTTCCGTCACTCCAGTTTAAATTGCAACGAAACCTCAAACGACTTGTAGAGAACGGAAGTCAACCTTCACTACTAGTACATAACTTTGGCGAGCCGCATCCACTACCCACTACAACATATCGACTTGCCCGATAAGGTCCCGAGACGCTTCCATAGCCTTGAATTATGCGTTTGCGTTGATGCCTTCGGATGCGCGACATGAGTTGAGGGCTACTGTTCACTGCCGAAGCTGGACGACAATCTTGGTTCCCGTGGCCGTCTTTTACTGCTGTCGAGGATCCCCAAGATGTATCAAGTCCGTTGAAGGACAACTAGATACTTGAATGTCGGTGCTTGTTCAAATTGATAACGTGGAGTTGCAGGTTGTCTCCCCCGAGACAAAGTCCATCAGTCAAGTTTACCTACACTGTACCCCGTAAGTGTGTGCCGTCGTGATAGCCTAGTTGCTGTGTAGTGCAAACATCGCAGGCATTCCGATCGGAACCTTTCCGTGAGACTACCAAGTCAACTACCAGGGCTCGAGTAGTGTAGTAACGTCAGAGAGGATGGTCGTCCCCGTTCTCTTCTCAGCAAATTGCCGTCAGATCACGTTTTGATACCACGATGCTGAAGATCGTCATCCCATTTGACCCTGTGTCTTGGAAGCTCGATCCTCGCGGCTTGGATCTTGGCGTTCAATGGTGTTTCGGTTTAGTTTAGACCGAATAGGGGCATCTTATCCATACTCTGGCGGTGGAACCGTGCTCACCATGCTAATGCGGCGAAACTGTCGGCAAATATCATGGCCATGATGGAGTAATAATGTACATGACAAAGAGTTCATTGTATCAGTATGGGATGCGGCGAAGGATGAAAAACTCAACCGACATATGTTCCCCGAGATCGTCAACAGAAATTCCTACCTAGTGCAAGCCGACGCACTGGGAGATCCAGTCACGATAACATATCTCCAGGCGAGCCAAGCCATACGAACCACGCATCTACGGCGTGGATATGTACAAAGCATACGACGATGTGGTCTCCTAGTCAGTGCTAGTGCTGCACCGTTCCCCGGCACTAATCTGCCCAGCTAGTCATTCATTCCCCTGTGCTTTTCTGAGGTCTGGACAGAGCATGTCTCGGTCGGGTTTGAAGTATTTTGGACTGAGAAGGCACAAAATATGGGCAAGGAACGGAACAAACTGAGGTATGCAAGCGCGGTAGACCTGCCACTCCCGTAGTATGAGTGAGGGAAGCAGAAGCTTGTCGTTGTCTGCTTAGTTGTCAAGGTCTTTTGAAGGTGTTTATGGTAAGGTTTAACCCAGAGCCCACCACCTCTGCCATCCCACCCTCACTAGATCGAATGCTAAAACATGAGTGGGACTAATCGCGAATAGGCCGTTTTGTGGTTTGTGGTTTGCACATCGTGAAACAAACCAGATCCATATGCCTGCGCAGATACGACACCTTTGTATTTTTGATTTTTGTGATACGGGTCGATACGCAGAAGGAGTCCTGGAGATGCAGTGGACGGAAAGAGAAAGTGTCCTTGTGCACATCTACAGATAGCGCAATAGCCTGCTACATTGCCAAGGGAAGCCAAGCGTGCGTTCTCGTATATGAACTCATGAAGCTCAATGGTGTCATGTCTTTTGGTCTTTGGAAACGGGCGCTGTCACTGAAGTGCTTGACATTTTCGGTAGGGAGTAAAAAGATACCTACGGGGGATCGAGGGGCGGAAAAGTGCGTGTGGGCTGGTGAGCGAGGAGGGATGCGGCGGAAGCTTGACCGTAAAGGTACGGAAACCTAATGCTTCCGCAGTGTAATCCCGTCAGAAACCGACTCTGAAGGTCCCTTCGCTACCGATTCGGCGATGACGGAGGAGGTCTCGCAAGGCTGACTTGCCCTGTGGGGAGTCAAGGAGTCCAAGCAAGCCCGCCGACAGCTTATCGATCGTACAATATAATGCTGGTTTGTCCGTTAGTTTGGTACTTCGATTGTGGGTTGAACAGGGAAGTTTTGGAGCTCTCATTGGCCTTGCAAGAGAGAACCTGTTCTTCGTTTACATAAAGCGATATGGGACAATGGCAAGGGTATGTGACGCCACAGAAGCCTCTGATGGGTGTCCCTCTGAGCTCTCTCTACACTACCTCGTTGAAGGCCTTTGAGACCGGAAGATAGGCCTTGAAGATCAAAATACCCGATAGTTAAGCTTTGGCTCTGTTGTATCAGATGAGGGCAGATTTGTGCACATCCACATGTATCCATACACTACACCAGTCGATATGTTGTGTGACCGGCCATAGCTGCCTGACTACAAACATGCTGATGGATCGGTTGAATGGAGTCATGGAGCTGCGTGATTTTAGCAAGTCGCGATAGTTTCTTGGCCTTCCACTTGCTGGATGGAGAAGGGGAAAAACTCACCCCTGTGATGCATGGAAGTCGCAGAAAAGGGGTAAAAGATTTCTAACGTAGCATGCTATGTACGTACCGCCCCCCGTGTGTACATGCTTCCACGTAAGGTACCCAGTAAGATGTTTGGAGGAGGCTGATATTGGGAGGAGGGGGAGAAGAAGATCTTGTTTTGTGATATCGCTGCCTACGCCTAATATCTCTTGGTATTGAAGGGCTCCAATCGATCTGTACCGTACTACACCTCTGTCGGCATATAATTCGTTAGCGTGGTACCGCCACTCTACAATATTCAGGGCATTGGAGGTGAGCAAAGTGGGCATCTTTTGTAAGGAGAATTAAGTTATTGCCACTACCTCAATTCACCGCGCTAACGTTTTAAGTGCCGGAGGAGGTGTATGTCCGAGTTCATCGCTGAATGACTCGGGCGGCTCGTAGCAAAGCAATGAGATTCTGGTTAGTTCCGATGACGAGATTGGATGTAAGCTTCCCTTTGCTGCTGAGGTCCTCCGAGGTACCTGTACATACTTGCCAAGGCTACCTCGTATCACGCCCGCAACTCTCCTTTTGCTCAGCCAAAAAGGCTCGGTTTGACGTTGATATGTGTGAATGCTTGCGCCCAAGATTCAAGGGATATCTCTGCTCTGGCACAAGCCAAGCAAGCGTCTTGCTGGTAGAATGGGAAACGTGGAAACATCAAAAAGGCGAAGGTGGGAATTGTGATTGGCCGTGTGTTCAGATCCGAAAGGGAAAGCCGCCAAATGGATATGGGCTGATTTTTACGTTGGCAAGGACGGGGCCTACCTACTGCGTGGTAGAGGTGCTGCATAGTAGTACGTCAGCCAAGCGGTTAGCGTCAAATGGCTGCAAAACGATGTTCGGATCCCTGTTGGTCCCTTGTGTCTTGCCCATTATGTACCTCCAGTACAACCGTCCCGTCCCCAAACCGATTTTCGCTGTTCACGGGCAGCGCCTGCTATCAACCCCCGAGCCCCCCCAAATCCAGCCAATTCCACTTTTCCTGCAACGAGCGAATCTGGCGGCTCTTTTCTCAGTCAGCCAATTTGTTCAGTTTGCGTCTTGATGCAACGAAGTGTGGTGACCGGTGTTCCAGGAATGCTTGACCTTTCTGCGCTATCTCTTCTTGGCTTCCATTCCGGCGGGGGGGTTGAAGTCAAAGTGACCTGACCGATCTCTGACCGACGGTGGAAGCGCACCTCTGAGAAGCAAAAACGAGGGTCTGCCTGACAATTGGACTCGAGGCTCGGATGCTGACGGATCAACCCCCCAAAACTGGCGCGCGGCTCTTGGAAAAGGTATTCTACACTACTATGACACTACTGTAGTGGTCTCGCACATGACGATTCCTCAGTCAGTCATCAGTCATCACAACGAAGTGGAAAATCGCCAAGCAATCTTACTCGCACGGCGTGGCAGATGGAGACGCGGAAAGTTCTTTTTTTCACACGAAAATCTTCTTTTTTTCTCCAGTCCTAAGCGGGCACCTCCTGGTTTTCCACCTGGTCGCAAATTTTCGAAAATGTGCATGCTGGTCGCAGCACCGGTGCATCAGGTCAAGACAGACTCCAGTCCACCGCCTCGGGACCCTCATTCGCCGACTGCTTCTGCGAATGGCGCTCAACCCGAGTCCTAGGCGTGCCACGGTGGACCCGGGGCCGCTCGGCGTCGATGCCCTTCGCAAGTACCTGCCGGATCCAGCAGGCTTCCGTGCTCTTCGATCCAGCGCATCTAGCACCGGGACCGGGTCTTACCGGGTTTCCAAACCTCTGCTTCGCAATACTGTACGATCTGGTACTATCTATCGATGTAGTGCTAGGTCGATTGTTGAGTTGGTACCTACAATTACCTAGTAGGTTCTTACTCCTAGCACACGGGACGAGATGTATTCCAAATTCTTCTAAACCTTTCAGGGACTGAACAAAGGCTAAATATGACAGGGTCCGAAAGGCATTGACAAGATCCAAAATACCTAAGCAGGATCAGAGAGTGAAAACGCCTAGGGAGGTTGCCCAAGGTTTCAAGCTAACAATCAAACCAGTATTGGACTGTAGTGTAAGCCGCGTTGGGGAGGACCTTCGCAAGGGCAGTTTCCCTTTTGGGGGGGCTTCTCGAATTGTTTCTGACTGCGTTTGGAAAATCGAGGACAATCGCGTATGCACAGTGCATGCACCTTGCAACGATAACATGCGTGCTGGAGACGCTGATGGGGGCAACGGGGGTTGTGCATTGCGGAGGAAGGTTTTGCTCTTGGTCAGTCTTTGACCAACCTCGTCCATGATCGGCCGTGGGTTTGCAGGTAGACATCCTCAAGCGTAGGTCTACGCAGTATGGGCCGTGGAAGCCAAGATGGAACGGAGCAGGTTCCATTGCCTCGAAATGCTACAGTCAGAGCACTGTATCATTATATGTGACTACTTACTCATGTAACGTGTAAACGGCAATGTGAGTGGTAAAAGTGGTGATGTGTACGGGCAGACGTAGGTCTAGGTAAGCGTACACGACATGCCTCCGGTCTCTGGGCGGGTGCTACCTACCTGTGATGGGCGGATGAGTGCCAAATTCTTCAAGATTCCGCGGCCTCTGAATGGATCACTTGGACCACCGACGACTTCCACCCATTTGGAGACGAACATCCATAGACCAGGTACATCCACCACGGGACGCTACCTTGCCTCTTGCAGCAGCATTTTTTGACCTTTGCATCCACCAGCAACTGGAAAACCACTCGTGACATTCCTCAACACGCATGAGGGGCTTGGCATGCTATACAGTTGGCCCGAGACAAACTGTGTCTGTTCCCAAGCTATGCACTTGTAGTAACGGTAAGGTAAGTAAACCGTCTGGAGGTATTGGTGCGGTTGTTGGCAGGCGTTGACTAGGTATCAAAATTCAAGATCATGCGCCAAGGCTGTGTATCTGTCTGTCTGTGATACACAGGTTAACCCTTGGGCCCTCGTCTGAATGCTTACGTCGTTCCCTTTTTTGGGGTCAATTTGGAGTCCGCTATCTTCCATCCGGGGGAAACTCATAGATCGGACCGACATGGACAGGACCCCTCTTTAAACCCTCGTCGTCAGATGTGTGTCGCAACAGGCCCGGGCGATTCGTGACGTCCTGACATAGATGCTATAATCTATTGGCCCCACGATGCGGTGGGAGCTTCGACAAGGACCTTCTAGCATCAAATTTGGAACCATATTCATTTTCTGATCCTCCAAGTCCACTCCCATACCTCCTCTCACGCCGGCGGCTTCCGCAGTCGTGCACATAGTACGTACATGGCAGGTAGCAAGTGGTCAGTGACAGACCAGGGCAAGCCGAAGCAAGGTAGCGTTGCCCTGTGTCCCAGCAGCTTGGAGACCTGGTCCCCGTCTGGCTCCTCATTCATGTTGATTTTTGCGTTGATTTAGATAGCGGTGAACCTCAACTTGGCCGCCGACCTGCGCCCATCTACCTGTACTGTTGAAACAAATGTCTAACGACAACAGCAACCCCCTTCCCTTCCGCCCACTTACCGGTACAGTACAAGCACATCCCTTCCGACGGATCGTTCAAAAGACCCTTCGTTCTCTTCCTACCCAATTTCTCCCCCCTACCCTGCAGCACCAGGTCGGTACCACTAGCCTCACGGTACCTCTACCTACCTACACTTGCTTCCCTTCTCCTGTGCTCAACCACCCCCATCTGTTCCTATGACCCCCTTAAGCTAACGCTGTCCACTTAGCAGATACTGTACTGTGTACTGCGGATGGTCACTTGGATGGCGTGCAACACATGCAAAGACAAATAGACCTTGATCAACCCCTGGTTACAAACACAAAGCAAAAAAAAAAAAAAAAAAAAAAAAAAAAAAAAAAAAAAAAAAAAAAAAAGCAGAAAGATGTGTACCCCGTCTCATATCCACACAGTACCTAGTATGCGTCGAGCATTTCTTTGACCTCCTGAGAAGTGAAAAGACAACTTACTGCGATGGTCGGCTGGTCAAGGGAGCTCTCTTCTTGTGCCCTGTGTAGTATTCGGGTTGCTCGCTTGATATAAAATTTCAAGACCGGTTCGTTCGGGGTTAATTATTTCCCCAGGTTTATTTCCGCCAAAGCATCTGTAACAGAAAAAAAAGTCCAATCAGCAAATCTTGCGCGTGGTTGTTCTCGAAACCATTGACGCCCACTCTGAGCGAGTCCACCATTGCCAGTCGATTTCTCAACGGGTAAATCCTTCCCTAAAGCGAAACAGCTGTTGAACCCACAGAAGTCTCCAAACTACCCGGTTGGTACCTTTCTGCTGACACATCTGATCCAAAGTACCACTGGGTATCGGAACCGGCACGCCCCTCCGCTATAAAGTAGTGTACACAGCAAAACCTCTTGCCTTCTTGGACTATCCAGCCTTTCTAGCGGTTCCACCTCCACGCGGGATCTTGTCACCTCTTGCGGATCTACACTGGCTTTTAGACGCTAAGAGAAGGACAGTGTTCAAACTCTTTCCCCTGTCAACAACCTTCCCTTCTTTGTCCAGCGGAGTGAGACCGAGCCAGGTGGATAGGACATCCAGAGTTCTTCGACGACGTCCACTTCTCGCAGTTCGTTTAGACTGCTGTTGGTTTCGATCCACCCCAAGTCTTCAACGGCCCTGACTCCCGGCTCGGTAAAAAATACTCCCCTGACCTTGTACATTTTGTCAGACACCAGTATACTACTACCTTGAGCTTCCCACGGTTCTCTCTAGTCTTTTTCTGTTACTTTTGGTTTGGACGTTTATGCGATCAAGTCCAACAAATCGACGAGCCAAGCAGCCCAAACCGACCACCGAAAATCAAACATCAGCCCACTACCTCCTTCCCCCTTCTTATTTGATCGCCTGTTTGGTGACCGGCTCAAGCGTGGCCCAAGAAGTGTCTTTCGAGTGGGGTCTGACTGTATCTGAAAGCCCTTGAACCCTCACACGAACATGCTGATCAGGCGAAGGGACTGTTGAGACGGGTCACAAATCAGACGGAGGCCAAATCAGGGACACAACACGGAGTGAAAACCACACGCAGAATGCAAGTCAAGAGAACAGACAAAGTCATGGTCGACCAAAGGAACACGATTTCTTCGGACGCCAGCACAAGTACTGGTGCCGTCACCGAGGCTGCGAGAGCTCGCCAAACCCGCCCTGCCTCACAACCTTCTAACCCTTCTGGAACCAGTACCAGTACCAACGGAGTATCATTGAGCGCCGGTGGCTCTAGAAACTCCCCCGAAATGTACGAAGATGACTCGCTGGACCTATCCCAGCACGATCATGCCTCTCCTTCGGAAAGCGTAAAGTCCTCGGCCCACGGCCCGTTAAAATCAGAATCCGAAGACACACCCGGTGACGCAACTGGGCATGCCTCGTCCGAACCCCCGACTCTGCCGGTACAGAAACGCCGCAGAGTCACGAGAGCCTGCGATGAGTGCCGCAGGAAGAAGATCAAGTGCGACGGCAAGCAGCCATGCTCACACTGTTCAATCTATAGCTATGGTAACACAGACACCGCTTCTAGCTCTCCACGATGTTTCCGGCCGACCCCTGCTGACGAGACTTCCAGACTGTACATATGACAAGCCGTCTAACCGACGCAGAAATCCTGCGCCACAGTACATTGAGGCACTCGAGAGCCGACTTCAGCGTGCCGAGTCTTTGCTGCGCAAGTTCGTCCCGGACATAGACCTGGCCGACCCTAATCTCGACCCGGCAATCCAGCAAGAGTTTCGGGCTAGGGAACAGGCAAGAGCGCGGGCTGCCAAACTGAAAGGCGAAGCCGCCCCAAAAGAACCCGAGGCCCAGGATGCACAAATCATGTCCATGATCGATGCAATTGGGCAACTCGACATGAAGGAGGACGGCGAGTGCGACTTTCGCGGCATCTCTTCCGGCGCTGTTTTCTTCGGACGCATGAAGGAGCACTTCAAGGGCCTACTAAGCAACGAACACAGCATTCCGTTTCTATTCCGAAAAGCTGAGAAGACCGGCCTCTTCAGTCTCAATTCCCCCCAAACCACGGCTGGATCACCTTGGGAAGCGTCATCTGTACCAAATGTCTACGAACTACCCCCCCTAACCAAGGTCCAAACTCTGTGCTATTACGCATTCAGCTGCGCTACTTGCCTACTCCGGGTTGTGCACAAGCCGACGTTCTACGAATCGCTCGACAGGTTATACGAGAAACCCCAAGATAGTTGGGGAATCGAAGAACATAGATTTTTGGGTCTGTTGTATGCTGTCATGGCGCTCGGAACCATGTACAACATTGACGAGAACCCGGGAAATCCTACGACTCATCAGGCGGCAATGGAGGAAGGGTAAGTTAAATCATCTTCTGATTCATGGTCGGGTTACTAGATATGTCTGACAAGATTTTGACAGGATCAAATACTACACATCTGCACGATTGCTACTGCAAGACATCGCTGAATGCCGAGACATGACCTCGCTCCAGGGGCTTGTCTTCATGATTCTCTTCTTACAAGCTTCATCGAATATGAGCGCCTGTTATGCTTTCTTGGGAATCGCCTTGCGCTCTTGTATTCGCATGGGGCTTCATCGTCACTTGCGGCATGCCAGGCTTACCCCTATCGAAGAACAAACTAGGCGGAGGGTGTTCCACGTAGTGCGACAGATCGATATATACGTTTCAGCTATTCTTGGGTTCCCGGTTTTACTCCACGCTGACGATATCGACCAACCACTGCCGACGGAGGTGGACGACAAGTATATAACAAAAGATGCGATACTCACGCCGGATCCGGACGAACGCCCATCCTTTCTCCAGGCATTCAATGCCCATCATAGGCTGATGGGTATTTTGGCCCGACTTATCAAGTTCATTTATCCAGTCAAGGGCGTGGAAGATTGTGCTCTGAAAAGCGATAACGAAATGGCCACCTACACTATCAGTTATGCGCGAATCAAAGAGATTGAGCGACAACTACACGAGTGGTTTGACCAATTACCGCGGTATTGGCGGCCTGGTCCCGACGACGACGATATAGAGGTGATTCGGTAGGTGGACAATTTCCAACAAGGGAAGTGCACGGGTGGCTTACTAACTCGGCATCATCAGTGTTCGAACCCTCTTGCGCTTCGCATATGGCCACGTGCAAATGATGCTGTACAGGCCGTTCTTGCATTATGTCTCCGCTCGCATGACAGCAGGCAAGAGAATCGACGACCGATACTACAACTGTGCTGCCGCTGGGATCAGTGTGTCTCGCAACATTGTCCACATTGGCTTGGAGATTCAGAAACAAGCCCACCTGATCGGGCCGTACTGGTTCCTTCTTTATACGCAGTTCTTCGCAATCCTCTCTCTGGTCTACTACGTTCTAGAAAATCCAGACAAGACAGGGTCCGCCGAGATCCTTGCGGATGCCAAAGCCGGTAGGGATGTGATAGCTAATCTGACCCAGAGAAGCTTGGCAGCAGATCGGGTAACGACCGCCTTGAACGTAAGTACATCTACTCCTAGCAAGTTGTCATGAACCCCTTTTATTGATGACTTGTCCCTAGACACTCTTCGACCAGCTGCCAGAGCAACTCAAGAACGGTACTCACCGACCTGCACCAACAAAGAAGAGGTCATACGCCCCTGGATCCAAGGCGGGCAGCAACTCCATCTCTAGCCATGCTCAGGCTATACTACACGATACCTTGCCTCAGCGGAGATCCGATGAAATTGTCCGTCCACAAAGCGGCCCCGTTCGAAGAGAGACCCATCACCGCCATCCCCAGCGAACAACCTCATTCGACACTGTGGCACTTCACCAACCTGGCATGCCTGGTCACCACTTTGCGACGCAGGTTACGGCTTTTCAAGACCTGCTGCCACTAGACATGAGCAGTATGACGGGCTCTGACACAAGCTCGAACCCTGGAGCGCCGCCAGTCATGCACAGACAACAGCATCATCGCCAACAGAGTGGCTTCCAACAAGCCCAAACACCTACAACCGGGGCGCTCTATAAGCTGGACGCCATGATGTTTCCCTCTGGGGACCCTTTCGCCTATCCCACGCCATTGCTCGACCAAACAGGAGGAGGAGGGCATCACGCAGTATCTGGCCAGCCACCACCACCCATCTCCGCCGGATCTGTGGGACCAACGCCCGGGGCCGCCGGACCAGACAACATGCAGCTTTACATGTCCGGCTTCTACGACGACGGCAGTATTGAAGGACAAGTACTGGGCCCAGTAGCGCCCTACCTGATGCAACACGGCGGGCCCGAGCCGCCGCACGCTGGGGTTTTGGATCCTGCTGCGCAGATGTCCTACACAACAATGCTGAACTTGCAACTCCAGCATCAACAACGGCAACAGCAGCAACAGCAGCAACAGCAACACGGGCAAGATGGAAGACCGGGGTCGGGACCAGGGCGGGGACAACAACAACAACAACATCCCAGTATGCATCAGCGACATGCAAATCAATCACATCAACATCAGCACCCGGGACTTCATCAGCAGCAGCGACACCAGCAGAGCGATATGATGGAGGGAATTTTTAGGGGCGAATGGGAGGATATCCTTGGGGGTGGAGGGGCGCCGCCAGGGGCTGGGGGATACCGATGATTCAAACACAAGGAACATAGGGGCGGCCTGGTCGGTGGACGACATGAATGAAGAATTGGGCTACGTCCAGGATTCTAACTTGGTGATAACTTGGCTGCGTTGAACAGACCAGCAGATCTTCCGCCACTGAGTTCCAATCAGGCATTCTTATCAGAAAATCAAACCACCAACTTGGCAAAATCACGAAATTTATCACAAATCTGAGGGGATGGAGAGCATGGCAATCATGCAGATATCGCCTATGCCATTTGGGATGAAGAAGAAAATCAGCTTGTGGATCCAAGCTAGATGGTATCAAGAGGGGAGCAACAGAGCCCCGGCGGTATCCCTACCGAGCGAAATGGATAGCTCTGATCTTCTCCAGTCTACTTTGAAATTAATTCACTAGGCGGGATCGTGGAGCACGCTAGCACCAAGACGATGGGGCCAGAACAACAGCGGACTTTCACGGCGCCGAAAGAAGAGCGGCAGAGTCATAGGGGGGATAGAACGGGGACGGGAATAGAGGATTACGAAGGAGGGAGGACGAGAGACGGCATGAAAAACTATTCAGTCCGCCACGCGTGAATGATAGGCACAGCCTAGTACAATGGCGGTGAGGATGCGGTTCTGATACCCGGCTTCTCATATCAGCATAATACAGTCGAAGGGATTTCGATCACTTCAGAGTTTCCTCACGGAGTTCTTTAGGTAACGGTTCGTATCTGGAGAGTTTGCATGGGAGTCATGAGTAAGGAACAGGAATACAAACAGAAAATATAAATACCTAATTACAATTATCGTATTCTCGATCAATCAACTCAAAATGGCGCTGTTTAGTCTCTCTTGAATCCGACGTTACCCACAACACCCCGTCACATAAACCAATTCCTTCCCCAGTTGGCTTGCCGTTTGCTATCTCGTTGACTAGAGGTAAAGAATACTATGCTACACTATGCTCTATCCGCTTTTAACAACCCGAAACGATAACGGGGATTCATGATTTCCATGCCATAAAAAGCGGAAGGGTTAGGGTTGAAGCGCTTCAACAGGCGTTGATGTCGCCTGATGGAAGCGAGCAAGATCTCGAGACATCAGGATGACCGACTTTCACGTAATTGGAGCATTAATACGTTAGCTTTGATGTCTCGGGCTTTCACACTTTCAAGGTCAGATTTGAACAATTTCTGCCATGCATTCATATTTGGGGAGCATTCTGATGCCCTACCATAGACTGCTGACTACACCAACCACTATCTGGATAACCCCACTTCTCCGCATCGAGAGTGCAACGAGTGAACAAGTGTTGTCGGTCGGACCTTCTCCGAGAGTCATTCCTCTCTCCATCAACAACTTCATTTTCAAGGAGTTCATCCGCAATCGTACAGTAGCCTGTCCACCTCGCCGACAAAGGGCCCACACCCCCAAGGGCAAGAAGTTCAGCTTATCATCACCATCATCATCATCGTCAACAACAGGGACCGACACATTAGCAAACCGCTTAGCCCATCATGGCCAACTCAGGTCAAGAACATGAAATTCATTACAATCTCGTCGAGGACGATGAATTCGATATTGTGTTTGTTCAACCTTTTCCTTTGAATCTACACTTGAAAGTCTTTTTCCATTCGTGGCCCTATATCTCCCTCCTCCCACTCGTCCGCATCTCTGTCAATTTGTCAAGTGTCCCATCCATCCTCACATGACTGCATTCGTCTCACCCACCACGCCCCTTACCCATTGACAGAATAAGTCGAGATCAGCTCATCTACATGAACTGACCACTAAACTCCAGGAACATCGTAGTTGAAGGCATGGATGGAATCCATGGCGCTGGCGCAGCATCATCCGTGTCCGTTGGTGTGGGAATAAAGGCTCCAATTACTTACCAACCACGCATTCCAGGGCGCCCTCTCTCCCAAAAGTGGCTTCATGAGAAGCTTGGAAAGTATCCAGGTAAACTTGACTAGCCCCTTCACTTCATTATAGGTGTTGATTACCCTCTCTTGCACAGCCAAAACACATGTACAAAAGGTGATCGAGGAGCTTGATGCGCCTAAGAGCGGTCTCATTTACCTCCGAGGCTTCGATGAACCACTCTATCCATACTCGGACCAGGGGCCACCGTTTCGGCAGCAACGACAGTATGTTTTGATAGTTGTCTGCCCCCAAAACACGCCAGAAGAACACAAAACTCTAATTGCCACACTTTACCAGTTTCTTCTACCTCAGCGGCGCCGACTTCCCCGGTTGCGCAGTCACCTACGACATCCCCCGCCAGGAGCTGATCCTTTGGATCCGCCGTAACGACCCACGCCTATCCCTATGGTACGGCAACACACCCTCCATCGACGAATCCAAATCCAAATCCGACGTCTCCGACGTCCGCTACATTGACGGCCTCACCGCGTACCTCCATGCCGTCCTGACTCCCGAAACCGGCGGCGGCGGACCTCTTTACGTCCTCTCCCCCGACCAGCTTCCCAAACTCTCGCCCTCGCCACCTCAATACAGCTTCTTCAAGGGCATCCATGGAACCGGATCTAGAGGACTAAAAATCGACACTACCTCCCTCCTCCCCGCCATCGAAGCCGCGCGCGTGATCAAAACCCCGCACGAAATCTCTCGCATCCGGCGCGCCGTGAGCCTCACCTCGCTCGCGCACCGCATGGTCCTTCAACGGATCAAGCACCTCACTAACGAGCGCGAAGCACACGCCGTCTTCGAAGGGTTCTGCATCTCGCAGGGCGCACCGCACCAATCGTACGCGGTCATCGCCGCTTCGGGCCCCAACGCTAGCACGCTGCACTACGACGCCAACGACGAGCCGCTGGAGGGGAGGCAGACCATGTTGTTGGATGCGGGCTGTGAGTGGGGGTGTTATGCTAGTGATGTGACGAGGACGTTTCCGTTGAACGGAAAGTGGACAAAGGAGGGGGAGGAGATATACAAGGTGGTGGAGAGGATGCAGAGGGAGTGTATTGATGCTATCAGACCCGGGAGGTTGTACTACAAGCTGCATTTGGTGGCGTGTTTGATTGCGGTTGAAGAGTTGATGAAACTGGGGATTTTGTATAACGGGACGAGGTCAGAGATTTTGGCGAGGGGGACGGTAGCGGCGTTTTTCCCGCACGGGTTGGGGCATCATGTGGGACTGGAGGTGCATGACGTTAGTGGAAGGGAGAGGCTGTTGTTGACTGGATCTACCGTTTCTTCTTCAGGCTTGAACAGTCAAAGAGTTTCGGGGTTTCAAGAACCAAGAAGGCGCATGAAGAGGGAACAAGTCACCCCCGAGGACTTGGCGGCCATGTATCGCGAGGCGATGATGGATAGGGATGACGTTGAGCAGAACGTCGTCGGGCCTCCACCTTACAAGGGGAGGCAAAGACTCAGGGAAAATATGGTCGTCACCATTGAGCCTGGAATGTTCGTATATTTTCCTTCCCTTTTCCCCCCTCTTCTTTTCTCCTCCCCCAACTCTTCTCTCTTTTTCTTTCTTCAGAAGCTTTCAGCAAGACTAACTCCCCAACCCAAAGTTACTTCCACCGCCCCTACATCCAATCCTTCTTCCTCTCCAACCCCGACCACGCAAAGTACATCAACACCGAGGTACTAGACAAGTACTGGGACATTGGCGGCGTGCGCATCGAGGACTGCATCCTGGTCACCAAGGACGGGTACGAGAACCTGACGACGGCGCCCAAGGGTAAGGAGGCATTGAAGATCATTAATGCGGGGATCCCTGGGTTTGGCGATGATGGTCAGGCTGGCGGTGGGAGCTCGTAGGTAGGCGCGGACGGATTGTGTGTGTGTGTGTGTGTGTGTGTGTGTGTGTGTGTGTGTGTGTGTGTGTGTCAGAGAGGGAAAGAGAGAGAGGGAGAGAGAGGGGGGAGGGGCCTTCTGTTATGTGGTTGTCAGGCATGGTATTGCTGTGGCAAATTGAATTTTCTTGTGTGCAATTTTTTTTCCATCTTTGTTTTCTCACAGACAACTCCGATTGACTAGTAGTGTCAGCTTTCACAAAATGAATGAAAGGACGTGTCAAAAACACCTTTCCCAATCACTGAAGTCAAGACTGCAGATGTAACTTTGTACTAATCCAGCATTTTTGCATCTCTCGAGTTGTATGCATATTCTTTGGTTTGTTTACTTCCAGGCAAAATGTTTCGACATTGGCGCGTACCCCTGGCTTCGACCTGGAGGCACCCTGGCCAATTTCTTTAAACCCCGGCTAACTCCAGCCTACCTTGACCTTATCCCGGATGAAGATCGCTAACTTAACTAGTGTAAATGTCTCTAACGCCAGACAGATGACGACATGTGATGAGTAGGTACTTAAGTGACTATACCTTTCCTTGGGGCATGTGATCATTGAAGAAAGGAAGAGTGATGGCTGAAACGCCCTCTCTAAGATTCGCGTGAGATTTTAGGGGGGCTTAGGTACAATGAGAGCTCATTAGATACTGTAGTTTCGTGGTTGTGGCTGTGGTTGAGGAATCATCCTCAGTTTGTAGTAAGTATTCCATGTGTGAATTGCTTCAGTTTGTATCTATAGCTACTTGTACATACAGGTATAGAAGAAGGAGGAAACAGGGGTACCTTACTTAGTCGGGGATAGAAACGTAGGTATCAGAAGGGGGGGATATAAAGGTATAATAAGTACATATAACAGCAACTTGCAAATAACAATGATACCCACCCTCTTTTCACGAAGCCAACATTTCATGAAACTTGACCAAGCAAAAAAAGAAATAAAGATCATACTTGCAATGCAAATAAACTGGTATGACAAAAGAAAAAAAAAAAAAAAAAAAAAAAAACACTAGAGTGTTGAAGTCTTGACGCAACAAACAAACAAACAAACAAACAAACAAGGTGATGGTGATGATGATGATGTCTGTTACTCGAGCCCAACCCAAAATCCCTTGCAAGGAAACAACCCGAAGTTTGCTCCCTTGCGCCCTTAATGCCTCCCATTTGCCGTTGTTTGTTGCACGCAACGCATCATAGTTTTGTTTAAACCTTTTCCTTTCCCTCCCTCCTTTTTCCCCCTTCGTCTTCCCTTCTCTCCCTTCCTTCCTTCTTCTTCTTTCTCTATTGTATCAAAGCAGATGTTGCCGCCCGTCCGTCTATGGTTGAAGTAACTCCGTCGCCGCCGCCTTCTATTTGATCCTTTGGTATCCAATTTCTAAAGAGTTATATCGTAGTTATAAAGTTTGGGTGTGTACATGCTTGTGGGATGATTTATTTCTCACGCCTCGAAAGAGAGAGAGGAAATAAATCCATTTAGAAGCGAGAGATACCACGGCCGAAGACCCAGGACACGAGCCAGTAGATGGGCACGAGGAACCTGTTCCTCCAGGACATGGACTTGGCCAGGTAAGCGGAGCGCCAGAGGACCCAAGCGGCCCAGCCACGGAGCTCGTCGCGGGGGCCCTGGTGGATGGCCTTCCAGCTGCCAAGGTAGGTCATGACACCCCAGTTGCGGAACTTGAAGCCGGGAGCGTCCTTGACGTCGATGACACCTTCGTTGGCCTTGTTGAGGACCTTGGCGAGGTAGGTGGCCTGCTGGGCGGCAACCTGAGCGGTCTTGGGGAGAGTGCGCTGGCTCTCGATGACGGCGGCGTCACCGAGGACGAAGACGTCACGGAGGAGGCTGTTGCTGGAGGAGGTGGGGACGATCTCGGAACCCTTGGCGGCATCGGTGGTCTGGGTCTCGATGCGAACACGGAAGTGCTCGTCAACGAGGATGCCACCAGTGCGGGCATCAGTGGCGAGCTTGGCCTTGGGGCGGCGGGCCTCGGCGCGGTCCTCGGGGGAGATGGGAACGGCAAAGTCCTTGGAAGCGAGCTGCTTGATGAGGGGGTTGGCCATAAGACCGGTGGACCAGACGACGAGACCGGCACCGACCTCCTTGTCGCCGTACTGCTTGATCTTGAGCTTCAGCTCACCGTACTCGGAGCCGAGCTTGCCATCGGCAGGGCGGACGCGCTCGATGTTGTGCTGGGTGCGGATCTCAATCTTTTGACGCTTGAAAGCATCCATGGCATACTTGGAGAGAGCCTGGTCAAACATGGGAAGAACCTTGGGCGAGACATCGTAGACGGTGATGCGGACGAACTTGAGGAGGTCCGGGTACATCTTGGAAAGATCGTCGTGGATGAGATCGTGCAGCTCGGAAGCGTACTCGATACCGGTAGGGCCACCACCGACAATGGCGAAGTGGAGGAGGTTGGCGCGGTCCTCATCGGTGAGGTTGTCAACACCTTTGGGGTAAGCGCACAGCTCGAAGAGGGAAAGAACCCTCAAGCGGATGCGGCGGGCATCACCAACATCGCGAAGGAAGTTGGCGTGCTCACGGACGCCCTCGATGCCGAAGGTCTGGGAGTAGGCACCGCAAGCAATGACAAGCTTGTCATAGGGAACGTCGAAGAGAGCGCCCCTGGCGGAGGCCTGGTTGAGCTGGCCGCCCTGGCCGATGGGGACAACAGCCTTACTGGCAGAATCGGCGTTGGCGTTGGCCTCGACGCGGATGGTCTTGTTGGCGAAGTCGATGTCCTGGGCCCAACCCTGGTGGAAGCCGATGCCGTAGTCCAGGCGGCGGATGGGCTCCAAAACGGTACGGAACTCGAGAGTACCGACGGCAGTAGAGGCGAGAAGGGGGGTAAAGACGAAGTAGGAGCGCGGGGAGATGAAAATGCGCTCATACTTCTCGGGATCGAGGTCCTTGGCGAAGGAATAGCCCGCCCAGCCGGAGCCCAGGATGACGACCCGCTCCTTTCTGTCTTTGTCTATAGGGAATGGTAGTCAGCAATAACGCTCTCTTGGCGAGGTGGGACGACGAGGTGGTTTCAGAAGGGAAACGTGCTGTTGAACTTCACGGTGGAAAAATTTCTCGCCGTCAAGGCCAGCGGTGCTGACCGGGTGGACACCTGGAGGGAAGAGGAAGAGGTCCTCGCGAAGCGTGTAATGGAAGCCATCCTGAGACTTTAACCGGCTGGCGTTGATGCTATTATGGTGTTCGAGTAGGAGTCAATAAGCTCTCCATTACCGATAATCAAGAAAAAAAAAAAAAAAGACTTTTTGGACCACGTCCAGTGGGCGAATCGCGATTTTTATTCCATGTGGCCGTTAGTTGCGCTATCAAGGTTCAATACCCTCGGCGGCGGGTCGGCCCTAGCTAACAAGGTAGACGCCGGTATATTGCCCTCCTCCTCCCAACCTGGAGGCCGGGATCCATAGTATCCACGGGGTGTCCATGATGACGGATACATACGGGAACCTGTTGGGGGGGACCTCCGTCCTCCACGCCAATTACATTGTTGGATTTTGTGATGTCACCGAGAATCACTGAGTCGGTCTGAGAAGCCAATTGCACCCATTGGTGAGCTGGTCGATAGGAAGAAAGGAGAGAGAGGTACAGGGACTGGGTACGATTCCGAGGCAGCCGGCTTATTCTCTTTTTTAATTTTTTTTTTTTTCGGTCAGAAATGGTATCGAGGTAGATCTGTTTTCTCATTTGCTGGAATTGTCCTCATCTAAGGCGCAGTGGGCCGTCTGCCTCTGGTTATGGAAATTTTGGAAGAGAACTGCACCCGACACAGGCCGATAACAACAGACTCGCGACGAAGTGGAGGCATTACAATCAAGAGGAAAACTTTGTAGTGTAGTGTTAAAAAAAAAAGGGTGAAAGGGTCGTCCGCGATTTGACCCGTTCATTCGTCGAGAGGGTGGTGTGGTGGAGGTCTCGTGGATATCACAGACCACCAGCAAAGGGAATCATGACCGGGAGAGCCCGGCACCCCGGATACAATTTGGATTGATTTGTCTATCAAAAACCAGAGATGAAGTTGGAGTTGGGAGGTTTTCAACATGAGTCGCGGAGCGTCCGTGCGCAAGTTTTGGTAAGTTCTGGCATCTACGGTGGCTTGAGCGCTCATCTTGGCATTCATTAACCAATGGTGAAGAGCCCAGCACCTCTCGGGACAAGTGGCGGTCGGATTGCGGCTGGACAGGAGCGGCTCCCGGTCCGGAGATTTGAGGCTCCTATGCGCCAACATCGAGGCGTTTCGTCCGGAAGGCCTAGTGCGTACCATCGTTCCGGCGAGGATCCCAAATGCCCTGACTTGGATCGTTGGACCCGGAGCCAAATTTAGACTTTTTGGGTTTGGGGACCTGTCAGATCGTGAATGAAGTCAACATCAGGCCATGCCAATGAACACTGTCGCATTAACGATCCCGTCGGCGCGGGAATGGGATCATGGCCATGTGAGGAGGTATGGGTGAATGGTGATTGTGCGTGGGCATCACTCAAACCCGATATATCAAGATGGCGATATCCCGAATTACCATATGAACCGACATACGGTAGTGTATGTTGTACAATACATTTTTGTCTCTTGATGAATTTGGCAACCGAACCACGCAACCGCCCAGTCCGCGACAACCAGAAACAAGGATAGTGTAACCCCCCAAATCCGGTGGATCTCCGCCCTTCTCTCCCTTCCTCCGTCTCGGCACTCTGTTCAATGCCGCCAAAGGCCGACCGCGCGATTAACGTCACCATTGGTCCGTTTCGATTGTGTTGTCCATGTATCCGAAATTCAGTCTTCCAGAAGCCCGCAAGATCCGAAGACAGAGATGCCATGTCAGCACCCAATCTTGACTATGGAGTTCCGATCATATAATTGTGAACGGTTCCCCGATTGTCGATATTTCTCCTTGGTAAAAGATCATGAATGACGGCAACCTTGACTCGGGTCAAACACGATCGCGCTTACAAACAACAACACTACCGACAACCCCTACTTTATCGTTTGTTTTGTATTGTTTGTTTGTTTGTTTGTTTGATTGTTTGTAGAAAGAACATTGTACGTGTGCCGGATCCGATCATAGTTCAAACCGGCATGATACCTATGCTTCTAGAAGTGTATGTATCCGCAGAGGAATCTTCCATGCTGTTTAGACGTCAGGAAGCGGCGTTTCTTATCGCGGCTCTTATCTCCAACACTTCCACGGCATCTCCAACTCCCGCCGTTGACGACAGACATGAAGGGGGACACAACGAGATGTTACAAGACAACAACAGATATTGCCAAAAAAAAAAAAGAGTAGGATCATCATGTCACTCGGCCACAGGATCACACCAGACAAAAGCCAAGGGATGACTTAAGGCCGCCCATGAAAAACACATCAGGCCGCAAGCTCGGGCTTTTGAACCGCCCTTCCAGTCGTGTCACAAAGAGTCTCGGGTTGTCTCGTTGAGGCTTCGTGGTGTGCGGAAGATGGCGGTAATGAATAGGACGGCATGTGTCTCCGTAGATCTGCAAACTCCGCCGTCGTGCTTCATCCGGCTGTCCCACGACAACGACACCCAGGCAAGGGGGAAAAGGGAGGAACATGGCTGTGTAAACAAAGGAGAAGGCAGGAAGGAAATTCAGGGGGGGTCAACTTGAAACATATAAGGCCAAGCAAAGACCCAAGACCTCGCCTCGCCAGGCACAATCGGCAACAGGGCACACTGGGAACTTTTTGCAGAGTCTAAATGGCTGCATCCAACCATCTTGTGTTTCCAATACTTGAAAAAGTATGTCAGCCACTTCACATGATTGGAATGGAAGCCTTTCTCGAAGCCCCAAGCCCCCGCAAGCTAACGAATACTGCATCGAATTCTCGATGTGGTATAATGCAAACGAGTCCTCTCAAAGCCGAGTTCATCATGTGGCTTTGATGAATACGTTCCCAGTCTGCTGAAGACTCGCAAAGCCTGCCGGAGGCTTCTTCCTCCCTTGACTCCCCGCCAGACTGTGCCAGAACCAGGACGGAAGTCTGACACTGCAAGGTACACAGCCAACTGCTCATGATACCGCAGGTGGAGAGCTGACATGCAGACTGAGAAACCAAATCGGGAGATATTTCGTTGCCGTGGGATAGAATCGTGGGTGTGGCTGGGCCCAACATTCAAATAACTAACTTAACTAAACTGCCTCTGCTCCAGGAAGAACAAAAAGGCCGCGTCTTTCCACTGTTTCTAGACTTCCCGTCCCGGCGATTTCGAGGGGGCTGGCGGTGTTACAGATTGATTAAGAGGACCGGCTCCTGTGAAGCGTTGGTTGGCAGTCGGCAAGTCACCTTCAGTGGTCAAGGTGGTCTCACTGTGGTGCATCGTCGTGTCGAGCTGGTCGGGTGGGGTCTGACTGTATGCAAGCCACATGATTTTTTGGCTTCAGCTGCGATTCGAGCCCCTCTCATAGGTGAATCATGTTTTTCGACGGACTTTCTCCCTGCAGCAGCTGCATTCGGTGCATTATGCCCTGGGACACCTACTGTTCTAGGCGGCACGCTAGTCTGCTGCTAAGAGACACGCACAGGTGGAAAGCGGTCCCGTCTCTCCCTGCCTGGCTGCAGTGGTCCGCAGCAGTTGCGGGCTGTTGCGTGCGGTGCTGCCGTGAGGTGGTGTTGTGCACATCATCCGTTAGTCGTAGGTAAGGTAGGTTGCCAGTGCGTTAGGTTGTTGGGGTTGCAGTGGTCGCTCTTCCTCCATTTTACAAGTGCAGGGCCCTTCCATCAGATTCCGGCGAGCAAAACCAAGGAAAAAACAGTCTCAAACCATGATCGCGCCAGGCAAGAACAGGTGGTGCGCACCTGTACCTTAGTGTTCTAGCGTTACTACAGCAACTCCACTTTTCAAGAGAGTGAGGGAGTCAAGGCTCATGCTGGTCGCTTCCCAGCCAATCAGAGACCGTGGTTCATCCTGTTACCGGAGGATGCCTTCCATAAACACCACGACCAAGGTCAACCCCGGCGAGCTAGACCTCTCTCCTCCCCGTCTCCAACCTTCCATTTCCACGACTCCAAGCTGACTGCTGCTTGCCATTGACCAACTCGACCCCCAATTAGCAACCCAACTTTGCACAGTACAGTCAACCCACCCCAAACCTGCCCGATCTTGCTGTCGTCGTCTTCGTCGTCGCCGTCGTCTCCTTGTTGTCAATTGTTTGCGCTCGACCGGCCATCCATACCTCCGCAATAACACGTCTGCAACCTGAACCACATCGTCATTTTTATCGCCCTCATTTGCGGTGTGAGAAACGCGAGCTTGACCGACTACTTGAATACGACCGGGTCGCCAATCAGTTGTTGATATTTCCACGAGGATTGCCAGTGCAGCACCCAAGCGAAGCGTCGCATCGCAACCCAAGCGCGTCCCTGGAGTCCGCCATTTCACAACCCAACTTGTACACAAGCACATCGGGGACGGCCGCCTCTACCTCTCTCTACTTTCTTCTCTACTTACCACACATTTCCCTCGTGTGTGTATGCCCTTGCTTTGCGCGATCTTCAATCTGTCTCAGTGCGCGGTACCTTTTTTGCTGCCTCGCCGATCCCTTACCTACCTTGCTATGCCATCGCTATAGCAAACGGCTCCCGCATCAACACAAAGTAATTTTGTTGTCGACCACCACTCCTCCCTCCTGCCTGCTCCATCGAGCCACGCCCAACCGTCCATCACCACAACCATGGCGTCGGAGGAACCGGTAGGGCGCACCATCTCTCCACTGCCCTGTTGGGGCAATGACCTCATTGGTTCACTCACCGCTAACTACGTGGCGCGTCTAGGTGCATCCCCTCCGCCTTTCCAAGGGCAACACTATTCCTATCCCGTCCAAGACGCAGAGTGCTATCCCTCGGCCGCTATCCGAGATCTCGCCCACGGAACAGAGAAGGAACTCGCCCGGTTCCAGCCAGGCACAGGCAAAGGTAAGCCAATACATAGCCACTAGACCCAGGAGCAGAGCTCCATCAACTTCTCCTTGCTCCATGCATGTCGCATATCTCCTTGGCCTCCACTGCTTGTACCTGCATTCACCATGCTAACGTCGGAGGAACAGTCCAAGATGTCGCCTCTAAATACCGATTCCTCCCCCTTCCAGTCGTCGCCCATGTCGCCCGTGGATAACGCGACCTCCCCGCGTGTATTTTGGCAAACCCGTTTCAACTCGGAGAACAGTCTCGATAGTCGCACCGGATCCCCCTCGCCTGTCCGTCGCTCCTCCATCGAGCGTCTGCAGAAGGCGTCCCGCGTCAAGAACAGCAACATTCTCGCCTCCGAAGTCAAGCCGGGCCAGGAACCCCCTCGCCCCCCGGTCGAACGCCCGCTGTCCAAGATCCAGGGAAACGCATTTGGTGGTATGGGATTCAGCGGTTTTCGTGGCCATGGGAGGAGCCAAAGCAGCACCAGCATCCCCGTCTTGAGCCCCCCTCTTCGGCCTACTGCGCCTCCAGTCACCCTGCCTGCCCAGACTCGCCCGGAAACACCGAATAGGGATAAGGAGCAAGGAAGCCAGAGCCTGTCCACCTCGCCCATGAAGTCGTCGCTCTCAAGCCGATTCAGGAGCAGTTTTGACCACGAAAATGGTACATGGACGACAGACGAGAACGGCAATGAATTACCAACCGGCAGAGCGCTCCACCGCCATGCAAAGAGTGTCACTTTTGATGCCGCTCCGCCTCAAGTGAACGAATACGAGATGGCGACCCCGGATCTATCGTCAATCGGCAGCAATTCCAGAGAGGGGAGCTACGATTCGGAGGAAGACGAGGACGACGATGATCATTACATGTTGCACGATGATGATCACAGTGAAAGCGGGGACAGCTTTGATGCCTCGCTCGAGGATACAGACAAGACCCCCGTTGTTGGCCCAGAGGACTGGAGGCAGGGCGAGAACGATGACCCTTTCTCGAGAAGTGTCGGCTCGGAGGGGACTTCGAATGGTGACCACAGGCCATTGCCACCACTTCCTGGACAATCATCCAGGAGCGATTCTGCCTCTCCCAACGCCCTTTCTCCTGTCAGGAGCCTGCCTACTCCTCCGCCGGCTCCCTTGACCAAGGCGGATATGCAAAATATCGGCACTGGCAAAATGTCTCTTGAAGAGCGCCTCAAACTAATGATGCTTTCTGACGATGGCAAACACGCTGCTGAGCAGCAGCGGGAGCGTCGTATGCGTCGTGCTGGTACCCACACCCGCGGCGAGGGCCACAGTTCTGAACGGGAGCCGCTGAGCAGCCCTCTTTCACATCCTGAGGAGGATGAGGAGGAAAACGATACCATTGGAGATCTTGAAGACTACCAACTGCCACCGCGTATCTCACGCGAATCGATTCTGCGTCGGGTTAACGGTAAGGGTGAGCGGGAGACGGATTATAACTTCTCTGACCCCCCAACCCTGCCTCCGCCTAGGCAATCAGCTGCCTACGACCCAGATGTGCCAATTCCTAGCACCGAAAACGACTCGGACTTCAGCGATGAAACCGACAGCGAGGAAGAGGGAAGTGTCATAATCAAACGTCCACACCATGATTACGACAGTGAAGACGACTATTCGGTTGCGGATACGTATGATCATACCGAGACTGTCGACAGCGAGGCGGATGCATCCGAAACACACCGTGACGATGAGACCGAAAGCCAGTACTCTGTTGGCACAGATCCCGAGAAGGACGATCATGAGGATGATCAGGTATCCACCCCAAGGGCATCAATTACCCCTGCAATTGAGGCGCCCGCGGTAAGAGACATCTCTTCCTCCAGCATGAGCGGCTCTCTGGAGCTTTCCAAGGAAGACAAGGATGGCGATTTTGCCGAGGGCTTGGAGTCATTCACAAGTAAACCTGCTGAGTCGGAGAAGGCGAAGGAGCCCGAGCAAGTCGCTGAGCCAACAAAGAACAAGGAAACGGAAACGCTGGCCGTGCCGGAAATCCACGTCGAACAGAGGCCAGCAACGCCCAGCAAGAAGAAGGTGCTGTCAAAGCCCGAATATGATGGCTCGGGTTGGGGAGACCCTGATGAGGAAGATGAGTACGAAGAAGAGCCAGGTACTCCAGAGTCCGTGATCCACCGTCCCATGCCCGACAGTGATGAAGAGGAAGCTCGCGCATCGCCCGCCATCCCGGAACAAGTTGCGACCATTAAGTCGGCGTCTGGTTCCAAGTTGAAGACTCGACCGTCGGCGACACCTGCCGATATTGAAAGCATGCGTGAGGCTCGTCGCCATGTTAGCCGTGAAATTCCCGCCACGCCCCAGATTCCAGAACGCCACCGTAGCCGTATCTCGAAAGACATGGAGCCAGAACTCCTGAGAGCCTCGGCCGATGATTACATGATGCGCCATCCTAGCTTTAAGAACCGCAGTCTCACCCTAGATATCGATGTTGGCCTCAGCCTCGAAAGAGATTTCGAGAGGGTGATTGAGGCGCAAAAGGTTGTTTTTGACAATTTCCTAAACAAATCCCACACCACAACCGGAGGCTTTACTTTCACTGGACAAGCGTCCGAGAGCAAAACCAAACCCGACCCAGTTCCACAAGATGTATTTCTCGATGCTAACGTTACGACCCGTAAACAGCGCGGTTATCTCATGCGACAGAATACCAAAATGGTTACTGCCAGTGATAAGGATGGCGACGATTCTCGTAACGGCTACCGATCCGCGGGCGGCTCACCCGTGAAGGCGAATCGTCCTCAGTCGTGGACAGTGGAGCCGTGGAATCCTCAACCGAGAAAGAGGAGTCTAAAAAAGCGACCCAGTACCACGGGGCCGGTGCCACCACTTCCTGGTCAGGAGAGTAATGCCACGGCAACAACCTCGACAACCGAAGACGACCTCAATGCCGGGATGGAGGGGCCAGAGAGCGGGGAGAGAGGTCGGTTGTTCGTTAAAGTGATGGGAGTGAAAGATCTCGATCTGCCCATTCCAAAGAGTAAGTCTCCTGCTTTGAGGACAAAGGGGGGTTCGACTAACCATGCTGTAGACGAACGGACTTGGTTTGCTTTGACCTTGGACAACGGCGTTCACTGTGTGACGACGGCTTGGTTGGAGCTTGCCAGAAATGCACCCATCGGCCAGGAGTTCGAACTTGTTGTACCAAACGACCTGGAATTCCAATTGACTCTGAACGTCAAACTGGAGAAGCCCGCCCCGGTCAAGCAAAAGGCGATACCATCTCCTGCCAAGATTACCAAGGCCAAGACGTCGACATTCAGCAGAGTGTTTGCTTCACCCAAGAAGCGGCGCGAAATGGAGATGCGACAAAAAGAAGAGGAAGAGCGCCTGGCGCAACAGCAGCGTGAAGCTGCTGCCCGGCAAATGAAGACTCAGCCTACGGCATGGGATCTTCTCTCCCCTTTGGCTGCCGAAGACGGAAGCTTCGCTCGTTCCTATGTGTGCCTTAAGGAGCACGAAACACGCTGTTTCGGACGCCCGTATACAGTGGAAGTTGCAGCCTTCAACGAGTGGGCTACGGAGGAGGCCGGTTTCGCCTCAAGCGTCAAGAGCAAGCGCGGTAGTACCGGGCCTGTTCGCCGTGCGCCGTATAAGATCGGAAAGCTGGAACTCCAGCTCCTTTTCGTACCTCGTCCCAAGGGAGCGACCGATGAGGATATGCCCAAGAGCATGAACTCGTGCATTCGCGAGATGAAGGCTGCTGAGGAGCGCCTGGCCCAATCTTGGGAGGGTGTTCTCAGCCAGCAGGGTGGAGATTGCCCGGTATGTTTGCGCTCATGTCCCGTAATGACTCTTGACGTTTTTGCTAACAATGTCTGTTATAGTACTGGCGTCGCCGTTACTTCAAGTTGGTTGGTACTAAGCTGACCGCCTATCACGAGGCAACTCGACAGCCACGAGCAACCATCAATCTTGCGAATGCCAAGCGGCTTATCGATGATCGTCGCGCCCTCATGGAGAAAGAAATTACCGGCAAAAACGGCAAGCGCCGTCGCTCTGCGTTCGCCGAGGACGAGGAAGGCTACATGTTTGTCGAAGAAGGGTTCCGGATTCGCTTCAATAACGGCGAGCTGATCGACTTCTACGCCGACAGCACTGAGGAGAAGGAGGGCTGGATGAAGGTTCTCGGCGAAGTCATTGGTCGCGACACGATTCTTGCTTCCGATGACGACACGGTAACAGGCAGCCCATCGAAGCTGAAAGGCAAGTGGTGCGAGTTGGTGTTGAAGAGAGAGGAGACGATTCGCAAGCGTGCCGAGGGCCGACGGGTACACTCGAGAACGAAGAGCAGTCTTGTATAAGTCAGGCTGGCTCTCGTTTGCGCCAAACAAGTGTTGTAATGTTGAGTCATGAGAACATGCTGTGAAGAGATATGAGAGAATTGGGAAAACAAAACAGATGATGCATGGAAAGAGGTGCCTTTTGGTGGTGGAAGAGCCCGGTGCTTGGAACCGTGATAGGGCACCGCGTGGAGTATGACATCATAGAACCATGATCGTGCTCTTAGTTTTCTGCCCGTTGTTCAGCGAAGCACGGGATTCACGGAATGCACACTACATTGCATACATGGCATTTGGTTGCATTGCGGTGGTCTGATACATCAATTCTGGCTCTGGCATATTTGACGGGTGGATAGCAAGCGTCGCATAGCCTCGCTGCCTTCTTTTTATCTCTTCGCTTCAAAAGGACCAAGGTCATTTTACTACTTGTCGTTCTCTGTTTTTTTTTTTTTTTTTTTTACATATCTCTCTCTCTCTTCTTGCCGGGCTGGTCTGGATCCGGAAGCTTGCTGGCGCGTTGGTATTTGCTGCCGGTTGTTCTATGTTGCCATCATTTGAGTAAAGTACACACGTTGCCGAGTAACACACACTACTTAGTACCTACCTACTCTTCATTGTCTAATTGGGCTGGTGCCCTTCTTAATTCTGTCGAATTCTGGGTGTCTTGTTAGTAGAGCAGTAATAGGACAAAGAAATGCGAGCAGAGATAAAGAGAGAAAAGAAAATCTTTCTAAAAATTTGGGCTTCGTAACTGGTCATGAGCTTTCCATACATAGACTGAATCGTAGCTATTAGAGTAGGTTCGACTTGCATATGAAGTTGATTCACGAACGTTGCTCCATCGTGGAAACAGTAAGGACTGGTCTCTTCATGTTTGCTCCCCGCATCGAAGTGTCGCCCACCATCTTGAATTATGAGGTTGCGCTTCAATGCTGATGAGTCAAAGAGGTAGCTGCGTCATTTCCACAATGTTTGCAGCATGGCCTCAGCAAGACTGATGCCCGAGGGCACTTGAGGCCTGTCCATGGTGAATCAGTTGCGGGAAAGGCCCAAGATGTATCAGAGCCCTTCCGAACCGGTGTGAAGGCATGTGCTCAAAACAGCCGGCACCAGGCTGACAACGACTCAGATATGATCGCCTGACACATTCGTAAAATGCGCCGGGATGTTTTGTCCTCCCGGCCATGCCGTCCACGGCGAGCACACGGCAAGGACGTAAAGAGGGGGTCCAGCGCAGGTGAGAACCAGAACCTCGCCTGACCCGAAAGGCAAGAATCATCAATGAGGAGGCACAGGCCCAAAACGCGCTCCTCACCTCCTCTTCCTATGCCCGCCCTTGGCCTTTCCACCCATTCCCCTTGCTCCTCTCCCGACAGGTCCCGAGTTCTCCATACTCCTGATCTCTCTTGAACTGATGGTAAGCTGTGCGCCCCTCATCTTTCCTATACCGGGCATATCCACCGGCCTGTCTCCTCCACTCCTCTTCTTCACATTACCCTTGCCCTTGCCGGACGCCTTCTCCAGGATAATGCCATTCTCCCTGGCCTCCCGCCTCCTCTTCTGCTCGTACGTCTCCGACGCCTTCTTGATGCCCTTGCGCATGTTCATCGGCATCTTCTCCTGCTCCAGCACACTGCCCTTTGCCCCAAGCGCTTGCATGCGCATGTCCGTCGTCTTTTTGCGGATGCGGCCCTCGGCGAAGGCGCGCGTGTTCTTATCGGTTTCGGCGGCGGCGCTAGAGAGGTAGTGTGAAGCGTTGCCGCCGGCCGCGGAGAGGATGTGCGACTCGGCGATGAGGCGCTGGAGAGCGAGATCGTTGGCGAGGAATGCGGCGCTGTCCTCGCCCTCACCATCCTTGTCCTTTTTGGCCTTGGTGCCGTTTGTTTGGGAGTTGGAGTCGAGGATGGCGTTGGGGGGTTTGGAGGACTGTGATTTTGGTGGGAATGTGTTAGTAAACTCGTCCGTCCTCCCCAAAAGAGTTGAGTAACTCCATGAGAGAAAAGTGGAAGAACGTACCAAGTAAGCTTTTAGCTCCTTCTTTGACATCTTCGACGTATCCATCTTTGACGAATCCTTTGAGTAGTCCACCACCATTACCTTGGGGGCATCCTCATCATCCTTCTCCTCCTCTTCACTGTCGCTGCCACTATAATCCTCCTCATCCTCTAAGCCGGAGAAGTCGTCTTCCGAGCCCGAATCTACCGCATCATCGTCCTCAAGTATTTGGTCCTCGTCAAAATCATCACCGACGCCGTCCCCATCCTCTTGGGCTTTCCTTGTCTTGTTTTTGGTCGACTTTGATTTCTCGACCTTTGTTGTGGTAGTCGTAGCAGAGGCAGAAGCAATTGGTTTGAATCGAGCCTCAAAAGCGCGCTGGAAAACGGAAAGCGCGTCGCTGATATCTTGTTGTTCCTCTTCTTCCTCCTCGTCTGCCTTCTTCACGGGCTTTTCCTCCTTTTTGGCGAGTTTCTGCTTCTTTCTCTTGACCTCAAGGTCCTCCGCAACTCTCTTTTTCTTCTTCGCCTCGGGCTGAGCGGGTATGCTTTTCCGCTTTCCTAGTAGTGTGGCTGACGGCATTTTCAAAGACGACGTTCGACGACGAGATACGAGACGGTATGTAGTTGAAATTAAGTCGGTGTTGCGATTATGTTGCAGCTGGTTGGTTTGCCGCAGTCCAAAATTTTTGGCTTGCAGTTGGTCCATTGCTGGACAAGGGACCATCTGGGGCTTATCGATAAGGTAATTCTTGTTCCTGTATGGTGTTAGTTACCTGTAGCTTGCATGCAGCTTTCTTTTCGGGTTCCCATAGTCGGCATGCAGTGGAGTCGGGGAGGGATCTGCAGCACTGTGTCCGGCACTGGTAGGGAACCTCTAGTAGGTAGGTAGGGTAGCGGGACATCTTCCCGTAAAGCCCACCCACTGAACACATAGGGCTACCCTACTGAGACATAGCGGGTGGCATCCTTGACTGCGATAACGGGCACGTCACCTAGGTCCGGCCGGGCCCAGATGACGCCCGGGAATCTCACATTCACATTCCATCCCATCCCGTCCTGCGCGTCACCCACACTAGAACCTTGACACCTGAAGCTTCACCTTTTATCGAGTCACATCAACAACTCAACAACTCAACCCCCACCCACCCTACACCAAAATGACGCGCTTCCGCCCCTGCATCGACCTCCATGCCGGCCAAGTCAAGCAAATTGTCGGCGGCACGCTCGACAGCGCGACCTCGGAACTCAAGACCAACTTTGTGTCTCCCCACCCCCCTGCTTATTTTGCCAAGCTGTACCGCGACAATGAGTTGTCGGGAGCGCACGTCATCATGTTGGGGCCGGGGAACAAGGAGGCGGCCTTGGAGTCGCTGAAGGCTTGGCCGGGCGGCTTGCAGGTCGGAGGCGGCATCACGGATGCGAATGCGAGGGAGTGGGTGGAGGCGGGCGCTGAGAAGGTTGGTTGATTTTAGTTTGGTGGTGTTTTGGTCAAGCGTTTTCGTGATTTTACCTAGGGTGGGACAGGTATTGGGCATGGCTGTTGTTTGCATTTTGAGTTTGAGTTGGGGAGTTGTGAAGTGGCCTGTTTCTTTTTTTTTTTTTTTTTTTTTTTTTTTTTTTTTTTTTTTTTTTTTTTTGTTTTTTTTTTTGGGCGCAGGACAAGTTTTGTTTACTTTCCTAAGGGGGTGTGCCGCATGTAATCCATCCCTCTGACCTCTGACCTCGCTCGGGCTCATCGAGTTTCCTTCCACCGCTGTTCCTACCCTCCTTCTCCTTTCACAAGATCACTCCGCTAAAATGTCCGCTTCTACTATCACAGGTCATCATCACCTCCTACCTCTTCCCCAACGGCAAATTCTCCCAGTCCCACCTCGACGCCGTCCTTGCCGCCCTTGACGGTGACAAGAGCAAGCTGGTCATCGACCTGAGCTGTCGCCGCCAGGGAGACGACAGGTGGTTTGTCGCCATGAACAAGTGGCAGACTATTACTGACATGGAAGTGAGCGAGGGTAAGGCTATATTTATTTCTCTTTGTTCCTCATTTACCATTTGCGTTCTTTTCTGGTGGATGACTCACCCATTGATCCAATTTTTTGACTCAATCACAAACAGAATCCATCAAGGCATTGGAACCTTACTGCTCTGAATTTCTCATCCACGCCGCCGATAACGAAGGGTTGCAAAAAGGCATTGACGAGAAGCTCGTCCAGCGGCTGTCCGAGTGGTGTTCCATCCCCGTTACTTATGCCGGTGGCGGTCGCAACCTAGAGGACCTGGAGACCGTCAAGAGACTGAGTGGTGGCAAGGTTGACCTGACTATCGGCAGCGCGCTGGATTGCTTTGGTGGAAAGGGTGTCACGTTGCAGGAATGCGTGGAGTGGAATTGCAGGCAATGAGCAGTGCGTTTGCATAAGATGATGTGTGTGGAAAATTGAAACCAAAAGGGGGGTGAGTGCTGTGCATAAAGAGGTAGTCATATACCCTCGAGTGTATTTGGGTCTAAATACCCATGACCTCAGATGCCCTGCTCTGCCTCAAAACGCGGAATGGAACGACGATGCAACATTGGCTGATTCACACCAGTCTTTACGAGCACGTTTACTGAGACCGTTTCTTGATAAGGGCAGCATCAGCAGCATCGGAGACTCGGTGTACGAAGACTGCTAGGAAGGGAAACACTCGGTAAATAGCTGTGGGTGTCAGAGGTGACGTTGGAAACGTCAATAAACAAGCAACAAGACAATATTAGTCTATCCGCAACAACTAATGCAGGGGCGACCACATCGTTTAATTTCCAGATACTTGTGACTCACAACTGAAGGTGAATGGATAATGAGATGCGTGGAAGGCGCACCCCAATCCAGTTTTCTGTTTTGGCAGTATTTAGACCTGGCCTGGTGGCTCGCCACTCCTTTACTCTCCTCCAAGCCACAAATCCAGCATTTCGCTCATCATTAGAATTACTTCGTCTCGATGACGCGAATCCAATGACATCCCTGTACCCGCCTACCGTATCTTGCTCATCACACAAACCATCTCCGCGGAGCCGTCTCGAGAGAGAACAAAACAAGCAACTGTGACCCAAAAACGGATACGAAACCATAGGCGACCCTTGCGTTCACACCAGTCGAGGTACTGTCAACCCAACAGCTATACAGAATCCCTTCTCAAGACCATCCCTCACTTCTCACCTCTTCTCTTCCTCCAACAGCAGGTCAGCGGGTCAGTCGATGAAGCCCACGCATACTCAAATAATATCAAGACCACCACCACCACCACCACCACCACCACCACCACATAACACATTATAGATCATTTCCTCCTGTCATCCACCAAATGGAGAACAAGCCTCCCCCAAAGCACGAATCCGTCGGCCAAAAACTCAGTGGTAAGCAAGAAGAGCAGCTGGAGAAATCAATGAGGCTGTTGAAAAGCAAGATGGAAAAGGACCAGTGGGAGGCTGAGAAGAAGAAAATACACGAGGAGGAGAGAAAGGCCAAGGCCGAGGCCGCCGAGAAGCAGAAGATGAAGGAAGAAGCTGAAAAAGGTACTGGCACCCAGTAGCAGGGGCAGGACCAGTGCCAATACCGACTGACAAAGCTACCGTGGAAACCAGTGCGGAGGCTGGTGAGGGAGCTAAGAGTGGTGATAAAGGTGAGGGTAAAGGATAACAACGATGGATTGGTACGGAGGGTAGGGATAGATGGGGAGAGTGTTAGGTAGGGCATGTAGGGTTGGGAGAGGGGGTTAAAGGAAGCGGGAAGGAAGAGGGATGATGGATTTGAAGACGGTAGCATGCATTTACGCCCAGATGTGGGGAGCGGATTGAGAGGCGATTTGCGCTTCACGCGGGCAATTGCCAGAAGGAGCGGGTGTTGATATCATTAAATCACTCCAGTATTCTCCTCTAAGCGTGTTCCGGCCTGCTTCAATGCCATGTCTGCGTAGCGCGTCTTCGTTGTTTTCTGAACCTGTGACTGATGATGCGCATCTTCCCTACTGCGACCAACAAAAGCCTCCTTCAAAAATCCAAAAACAATAAAGCAAGAAGAAAAATGCAAACACCCGAAGGCTTTATCTCCAGCCATTCCGCTATTCGATGGAAATTGCAAAAAGCTCGGTCGCCCAGGTAAGCTAGTGGAACGAACCACAGTGCTCCAGCTGCGACGTACGAAAACCATGCCACGAGTACCGCGCACCCGGCAATGTTTTCATCAACGGAACGGAACCGCTGCGCCATGAGACCGGCACAGCAGAGCCCGTTGTGGTGAAGGGGTCAGATGAGAGACGTTATATAGTGCCTGCAGGCTGCAGCCGGCAACTTCGGAGCGGGCAGAAAGCGTCTTGTAGTCCAATGTTTCAGGAGGCTGAGGCGCCCATCATGACCGAACCGTGATTATTCCTTGGTGCTAGTAGGAGACGTCTCAACCTCCATCTCCATGTCCTGGTCTCTGTCGACATTATCACTCCCCTTGTTTTCGCCGTCCTCACCCCTATTCTCCCCGCTACTCCCCGGCTCCGGCGCCACCGGAAAATGCAGGTGCTTCCAGTCCTCCAGCTCCTCCGTTACTGACCGTAACCGGTCCCGGATACTCTCAATCGCATAACTGCCCAACAGCAACCTCAGCGGCGGGTACGAGCAGTGGCCCAGCTGCCACACCAAGTCCGCGCACTTCTGGGCACTGGTCGGCTGCTTATCGCCTAACCACTGCACCATCCTTTTCGCATGCAGCGCCGGCGACGTCGCATGTGAGTACGGTTCACTGGCCGGCTTGATCAAGAAATGGCCCCAGCGGGGCACCATAGATGTATCAGCCTCGTCTCTCCTTACCAACCCCGGTTCGACGAGGGTGGCCTTGATGTTGAACGCGTCGACCTCGTAGAGCATCGCCTCGATCAGGCCTTCCACCGCATACTTGGTCGCACAATAGGGTCCCAGACCCGGCACGCCTAGCGCCCCAGACGTAGAGCTGAAAATGATGTACCGCCCGCCGTGCCCTGACTCGCGGAAATAGGGCAGGCTGGCCTGGATGATGTGCACGGTGCCCATAAAGTTCGTCTCGAACTGGTTGCGGATCTCGTGCTCGTCCTGATCCTCGCACGCGCCGATGACGCCGTAGCCGGAGCAGTTGGCGATGCAGTCGATGCGCCCGAACCGGTCGAGCGTCTGATCAATGACCCGGTTGACCGAGGCGTAGTCGCGCACGTCGCATAGAGTGCCGAAGGCGTTCTCTGCTTGCGGGTGGTGCAGGTGCGCCGCAGCCATCTGCTCCCGCGTGGACTCGAAGATGCGGCCTACGATGGTGACCAAGTCGCCGTGGTTGAGGCAGCTCTTGACCAGGGAACGGCCAATTTGGCCGGTGCCGCCGAAGACCTGCGGTAGGTGTGTGTCAGTCAAATGAGGGGTTTTGAGGTATGGGAGGTAATGAGGCTTCTTACGATCCAAACAAGGGGCTTCCGTGGTACGCCAGGCTGTGGTGGATCGCAACTCGCTGGGAGTGCGACCTTCCCCTTTTTACTAGGAGTCTCACTCCCGGTCATGCTTGGAGTTCCTTGTTCCATGGCGAGGTTGTGATGAAGGGCGGTGGTTTGAACTCGATGTACTCTGAAGCGCCAGAAGGCTCAAGTGAAGATTCCTATTGAAGCTCAGTGATAACAACTGGCGATGCCGGCGGTGCAATGTGCGATACGCAGACGCCCGCTTTATCGAATCTCATGTCATTGTCACGACCAGTGGGAATAGCAATGATCTAATGACCGGGTCAAGGCCTGAGGTGTCGTAAACGAAGCTTGATTAAAGAAATACGTGTTACGGCGATGAAAACAAGGGGTGTTATGAAGTCCCGAAGGAGCATCAGCCCTGACATGTTCACGAGATTGGATTTCACAGGACACATAAAGATGTTAGTCAGACCCCAGTAGTTGCATTTCTCCCTTCCTGGCCCGATACAAGCATTCGCCCGCCTTAAGTGATCTCTATATTCGCTTCCTATCAATGCATGGTTCTGAAAGTGTACGAATGATCCGTTTATGGCAACTTGATCGAGTCTGTCAAACGTGCGTGTTTCACGATGTTTTTCAAGCATATTTCCTTGTTGAAGTAACACTGAATCTTGTTATTAAGATGATTACCGATACCGTCAGCAGCTGCACTGACAATGGCTCTTCTGGATGCTCCGCAAGGACCATAAGTCGTCACCAAGAACACGTCCCTGGCAGCAGCAGCACAAGCAACAACCCTGTGCAGCATCAATGTTTACTACCCCTGAACTGGAAATCCGGGCTGTCGTGGTAAAGCCGAGCCGGGTGATCAAGTGCCGAATCGTTGTATCGGGGGGCGATGGCGCAATTTTCGTACAGCATCTCACCAAAGAAAAACCCCTCCATACGTCACCCGCTTTTGTGGTAAAACATGGGCATGGTATGATACAACCCGGCCACAACTGAAAATTTGTATGTGACAGCGTGAAATCTGGTCCAACAAAAAAAAAGGCCTTCATCTGAAGTGTTCGTGAGAATGAGGAATGAACTCTATATATAGTCTATACACATCATCACACTTAAACCATCATCCCTGAACCATCTCCAACCTCTTGTTTCCACCTAACTTGCTGGCCCCACAAATCATCGCAACGACACCTACCAAAACCCCGCGGCGTCGTCTGATTGATACCTCTACCCCGTTCCAGAAGCAGACAATATCAAACAGTAAAATAGCCCGGCAAAATGAAGGCCTACTTCTACGACAACCTCCCTGTAAGCTATCTCGACACTTGATCCAACGGGACTCACTTCCCTGTTTGCCTGCTGTCTACATGGGTTCCCGTCATAGAAAATCTTCTATTCCCTCCCCAGGCCCAACATCCATCACCCGTCACTAACCACGTATTTAAAACAAAAATCAGGGTGACCAACGCCTCCCCCATGACTCCGGCAAGGAAGTGACGGTCGCGGAGCTTGAAAAGGTCGGCGTCCTTTACTTCCGGTTCCCGGATGTCGAGGGCGTAAACGGCCTGGCGTCGGAGCGCGGCTACAAGAACCGGGACGAGATCATCGTCTCGCCCGAGAAGATGGGGGCCATCTACGAGACGAAGGTGCGCCAGTTCTTCGACGAGCACCTGCACGAGGACGAGGAGATCCGGTACATTCGCGATGGTGCCGGGTACTTTGACGTGCGCAACGAGGGCGACGAGTGGATTCGCATCAAGCTTGTCAAGGATGATTTGATCATCCTGCCTGCAGGCATTTATCATAGGTTTACTACTGATGATACCAACGTATGTTTATCCCTATTCCTGTTTCGGTGGAATCGGCATCAGATTTTTGGAGATGGCGAACTGACATAGCCTTTACTGTGTAAAAGTATATCCAGGCTATGCGTCTGTTCAAGGAAGAGCCCAAGTGGACGCCTCTGAACCGCACCGAGGGGCTTGATGAGAACCCCTACCGCCAGGAGTATGTCACTCAGTTCCTGAAGGCCCAAGCTGAACAGGCATAGGAGCAGCCAAAAGGGATGGGACATAGCCTTTATAGCCACCACAATCTGAAAGAAGGAAAGCACAAAACCATACGTTAGCGAAGTTCGCTACTTTCCGTTAAGCGCCATGTATCTATACCCAAATGCATGCGAAATATCTATAACACCTATCAACCAAAGCTTGGTGTGCGACCATTCAGCTGTTTCCCTTTTTGCCATAGCGACCTGGTCGCTACTTAAGCTTGTGGTAATCGGGCCTTCTGGCATAGCTGGTTTGACGTAGACCTGGTTTTGCTCTTCCTGTGATGTGTCATGGTGTTGTCCTGAACGAAACCGCAAGACCGCATGCATAAAGTGCGCTTCTTTTGTGCCGTAGTGAATGACTGTCTTGTGTCAACTGATGCCGAATTCCCTAAAAACGCCTGGTATCCTCCTTTGAAACAGAAATATCAGCAAATTAGCATGACCTAACCTGTCATGCAGTTGTAGCCCGTGGTCCTGACTAGGATTGTACAACCGGCTTCCCATTCCTCAATTCATACACCTTAGCGGACCTCGGGTGGCGCAACTTCGGGAGCGCCAGCGACTGCAATCTCGTTGTTGATACCATCCGTGGTCTCCTCGCGTGGCCGGCCCTCTTTGAGATCGTTGTTAGCATATTATACATCGGGGCAGCAAAAGGAAGACTACATACCAAAGATACGACGCCACCACATGGGCGGGTCAAGGGGTCTTGAGCCGCCGTGAAGAGGAGGATACACGTCGGTGAAAAAGTACCAGATATGGCCAATGACCATGCCCATCAACTCATCCTTGGGAATTGTGCCATGAAGGGTCAAGCTAAAAGCCATGAGTACCCATGGCAAGTAGGGTGCGCTAAACACCAGTAACCCAAGGAAGCTTAACCGGGTATCCGGGTTACGGCGAGACCATATGTAAACCAGCGTCGACGAAAGCGGATGGCCAAGAAATGGCATGGAAACGAGCGGCGACAGGATCAGGAGGAACACCATGGCGTACAGCAACAGCCATGAGAAGTGTGCTGGTGATCGGCCTGCCGATTCTTCGAGTAATCGCGAGTACCGTTGCAGGAAGTAGACGTGGAAGAGAAGGTCGAGGGAGAAGGGCCCGAAGTAGAGGAAGGTGGTGAGTAGTCGCCAGTACTGAGCAGGAACACCAACAGCAGCCATGTCAGCGAATTATTTCTCTGCTAGAAAAGAACATGTACACGACGAACCTGGGACTTTACAAAGACGGCGCGGTAGCTATAGAAGAGCTGGAAGGGAGTTATAAGCTCGCACTGGACCAAGCCACTCATGAGCATGGTTGCCGTCGTCCACCACCTTGTACAGATGGGCATCTCCCAGAACCACGTCTCGAGCGGGAAGCGCCCGGCATCGCCGCCACCACCACCGATCATCTGGTCCATGGTGAAATGTTCGTAGAGCAAACGACTGCGCAGTTGGTGTTGATTCGTTATCGGATGCTTGGCGGGTCCTGTCTGCCGGGCGATAGCGGCGTCGCTAACACGGATGGTATGAATTGGGCACCGTCTCCAATCTGGTGCAGGTTCAACGACGACGATGCTTGGATTCGGATTGGAACGAGGAACAATCTCTTGACAGAATACGTATGACCTAACTATGTGATAACGCCTACCCGAGGAAAAAGAGCGTGGGAGGTTACGTTGATGAATGATTAGATGCCGCGGTGTTGATGATGTCGTGTCCTCTGCAAGGTTTCCAATAGGTGCACAGTTTACAAGCTGGTTAGGTAGGTAGGTAGGTAGTCTCAAGACGGGAAGCAAGGAAGACGGGACCACGGGCTGGCGGGTTCGCTAGCGGAACTATGGGGAAAGGCGGCTGCAGCTGCAAGTGTGGCAGTGGAAAGCGCTGAGGTGCCGTGACCACTGGAAGCGCTGTGCGTCGAACTTTGCCCTGACAGGGGCGAATGACATGGATGCCCAGATATGATACTAGCCGTAGTACCTATGCATTTATGCATACCTAGAGGTAGGTATGTAGGTATGGACGTTGACAAACTGCTTGGGCCGAACCCCCACATTTCCCCGCTGCCATTGATTCAAACCCCTGCGTGCCCCTGCCCGCTGAGGTACCTCTAGTGGACTCCCATCCCTCGAGCTCCATCATGGAACTCCACAAAATTCACTGTGACCGAGCGCGCCCAGTAGGTCGCGATCAAAAAGAAGCGTAGACGCGTCAAGGTTCCCCATTCCAGCGAGTCGACGTTAGTAAACCCAACCACTCCCCTTTTGTACAAACACCGTGGATAGTAATTGTGTGAGTTGGCATTGCCGGCTTTGTTAAGTGGGCAACCTCGAATCTTCTTTGTCCTCTTTCTTGCCTTTCCATCCTGACTGCGACAACCCCGAATTGCTCATCCTCGCTGCCTTGCACCGCCGGCGCATCCACTCTAGCTCCCGACGTAAACAACAACACGGACCCAGCTCTCCGGTCTTTTGTCAATTGCGATCACCTAGCTTCAGTTTCCGCTACCTCCACTTCACTACATTCAAACGACTTATCGATAAACAACGGCCTCAAGCTTCGCCATCCGAGTGCGTCACTAGCGAACCAACCACCTATCAATACATTCACCATCATCGATAAACAACAATGCCACCAAAGAAGGGAGGAGTCACAAAGTCAAAGGCGGTGTCTAAGAAAGCCGCGGCGGTGCCGACGCCCAAGGCCACTCCCCCGGGAAGAAGGAAGTCGCGCGCCAGCAGTGTTCAGCGTATGTCCTACCTACCACTCCATCCAGTTCCATCTACGGCGGTACTTTCAGCGCAACCAGAGGCGCGGCGCGTACGGATGCGCACGCACACGCGGAGAGTGTCATCCATTGGATACGACCCCAGTTAGTTTCACACGCAGCTAACAGTGACAAACTCAGCCGGCGACCCCGTCCCCCAGGGCAAGAAGAGGCGTTACAGACCCGGCACGCTTGCGCTCAAGGAGATCCGCAACTACCAAAGGACGACAGATCTCTTGGTTGCCAAGCTTCCCTTTGCGCGATTGGTACGTATTGTTGTTTATGCGTAGTACGCTTCTCAAAAGCCTGATTCCGTGACTTACCCTTTCTTGTACCCGTAGGTCCGCGAAATAGCCATGCAATTCCGCCCCATGGACGAGGAAATGCGCTGGCAGTCGCAAGCTATCCTGGCCCTGCAAGAGGCCGCCGAGGCCTTTCTTGTCCACCTGTTCGAGGACACCAACCTGTGCGCCATCCACGCCAAGCGCGTCACCATCATGCAGAAGGACATCCAGCTGGCTCGCCGGATACGCGGCGTGTGGGGAGGTGCTGGGTGGGTATGAGTGTGATTAGCGCATGGCGGTGCGGCTGATGCAGCAACAGCAGCGGTAGCGTAAGCGGAAGCGCAGTCGAAAGTTGTTGCTACTACTACTACTACTACCTATTACTACTGTAATGGACCATAAGGTTTAGCCTGGCATGGTCTGGCTATGCTCAGTTTGGTCCAAGTCAGTCAGATATTCTATCTCGAGCAGCGAGAAGGGAACGGGAGGTGTTGGGGAAGTGGAAGAGATGAAATTGCCAGGGCATGGGTATTCCCAAAAGTTGAAGGCGCGCGATGTTGGATCGCGTCTTCCCTGCTCGGTTGGGTTGTAGGAAGGGAGAGGACACGGGATTGTGATGTGTCCCGTGACTCCGCCTGCAGAAAATCCCATCTCCAGTACGACGGCAGAAAGAACAATGAACGGACGGCAGCCAAGAATTCGCGCGCACTTGGATGACTTTAGCTGGCTCAAACAGCTTCAGCGTGGGGGCCAAAGAGAGAGGGGAGGGGAGGGGGGTCAAACGCGCATAATCTGATTGGAAAGAAGGGCCACGAGTGCGAAAGGGAAATCTAGCCACTCTCTGGCATGCCAGGTCGGAGAAAGTCTCGATGTGATCTTTCGGGACGGTCAATGGTGGTCAAAACGCGACAATTCCAGTCAGTGGTTGGCGGAAAGTGGCGCGGCTCGGCTCGGCATTGATCTCAAGTATGTGTGTGGGTGTGCTGGTTTGATCTCTGGTCGGCAGGCAGGCGGCGGCGTTTCAATGGCATCCCTTGGGGAAGATTATCACCTGATTCATTTTGGGTTAAAGGAAAAGCGGCGTTAAATAGTGTGTTTTGAAAGACAACAATGAGTGTATATACATTTTCGCATCATTGTCGAGTCTATTTTGACATGCGGCTGAACCAATATGTATCCGGATTTTATCTCTTGGAAAAGGAAAAGAAAAGAAAAGGATGTGGGTTGCCCATACTAAGCACAGATTGGGTAGACAGACAGCGTCCTCTGTACACCAACGGTTAAACACAAAGCTTCCGTATATGCCATCAAGAAAAGGGAAAAGGGAAAAGGAAAAAGGGGGCAGGCTGTTTATGACCTGGTAGTCTATGTGCTTAATTTCCTGTTGGGCACTCGACACAATCTATAGTTTTACCCAGTAACTGATCCAATTTCCAATAATCATAACCATATGTCTAGCTTATGCCAGCATGATACGTGTGCTGGGTGTCCGCAGTGCCGCTCGCTCGACTTCTCCGCTAAAAAGCAATAACAAGTAGACATCGATATATGGCCATCAACAACTCTGAAGATACTTTTTAAACCCTCTCAAAGCGCAACCAACCCCTACACTCTGTACCTTCTATAACGCCCTTTTTTCCCTTTTCCTTTCTGTTCTTCTTCTTCTTCTTTTTTTCTTCTTTTTTTTCTCTCTTTCTTGTTTGGTGTGTTCTGTTGAATGAATTGACACGAGGAAAGATTATACAGCTCCCGACGAAGAGAAACAAAAGACCGGCTTGAATCAACCTCCAACTCCTCTCATATGCCCATGCCCTATCGGTATTCCGTTCCTATCCACCATGTACATAGCACCAGCATGGCCACCGTGGCTGGGATGACCATGGCCTTGCCTCAGTTGATCAATGCTATGCATCAACTGTACCTTTTCCTTCTCAAGAGTATCCCGTTCCTTCTCCAACGATAGTATGTACCGCCTCGACATATCCAACACCTCGGCCTTGCTCAGACGTCGTTCAATACTAAAGTCAAGCGAAGGGTGTTGGCCCGGTATAACGCTACCACCACCATTGCCGTTGACGCCGTCCGGGTCCCCGCCACCGCCGCCGATCATGGTCATCGATGAGCGCACTGAGTCCGGGAGGACAGCCAGGAGCCTCTCAAACTGGGCATTGAGTCGGTTGCGGTACTGCTTTTCCACCAAATTATGCGAGTTGCGCGACTTTCGCTCTTCCGGCGTCTCTTCCGGTCGCGGTTGGATGTTCTTGGGAGCCCGTGAGGCGCTTCGCAGTTTTCCTTTGTTCTTGCTCAAGGCGGCAGTCGCAGACGCGGTCCCTTTCGCGGCCTTAGCAGCACCTCCTGGTACTGCTGGCACTGCTGCGGCTGCGTTGAACGGTGACCCGCAAGATATCGGTGTCATGATTTGGCCAAAGGCCTTCTTTTCGCCGGTATTCCACGGACCGTCCTCGCTCTTGTTGCATCCTTCCATTGACACGGTAGTAGTTTGGACCCATCGATGTTGCTGCGGCTGTTGCTGCTGCTGCTGCTGCTGCTGGTGATTGGCTCTCTCATCAATGTTTGCATAAGTGACGCCGTCCGAGTGATCCGAAAATCCAGTGTCGGATGGCGCGCTGATGGATTCGAACGTTCTCGCAGTCGGTGATGCTATAGCTCTTTGAGAAGGCGTGTTCGATCCAACGCTGTTAGGCGGGTGACCGTTCGCCCACAAGAACCCAAACCCGGGCTGTATTGGACTCTGGACAACAGGTGGCGATCCGTAAGTGCTACCGTCACCAAGGCAAGAACCCGAAATATCATGCGAAGGCGCAAATTCGTAGGGTGTCAAAGCCGGAGGTGCTGGAACTGCCGTGTGTTCGCGGTTGTACAGAGCGGCGGCGCTCGTGGATGGTAGTTGTTGTTGCTCCCACCCAGCCCCTTGCTGATAGTAAGGAGGCTGCGTGGGATTCTCAGGAGTCGAAACGTGATATGACGCTGTCGTTACAGGGAAACTTGGAGAAGCTGCAAGCGTGGTTTGCCGGGCTGAAGAGGCGAAGTTCAGATAGGGTAAGCTCGGCCCGCTCCGCTGGTGTGTGGTATGGATTGAAGTGGTTTGATTTTCGGAGTAAGTGGCGTGTTCGGGTATGCCAAGACTTTTCGGACCGCTGCCGAGACTGAAGGCTGAGGGTACTTCGGTCATCATCTCCTGAAAATGCATTGTGATATGTCAGTTATATTGCGATGGTCGGATTTGCTTGCTTGCGAGGCGTATAAAGGCATGCGTCTAGTCCCGGCCCTCCATCTCACGTTATCTCTACCAACCTCATGACTGCTTTCTCCCTTTTCGTCTATCTGGATGACCCCGACAACGAGATCTCCTCACAGCTGTCTCCTGTCTCCCAGTTCACGATGCTCTCCTGATCGACCATGTTATGACCGGCAACTACGCCATATACGCACCGAAGTCTTAGGGATCAATGAGGACATTTTGCTCACTCGAACTGTTGGGTTTCAAGTCATCCAGTCATCCACATAAGCAGCCTTGGCTGTGGAGTCTGACTTGCCCGAGTTTCTTGACCTGTAGAGCCTGCACGACACAGTCGTCTCCAGCCACTTGGGTTTTTGAAGGAGGGCAATGCTGATTCTCTGACTGACCCTCCGCTCACCCAGCAGGTCCAGCCCTCAAATCGCTAAGCAGGGTACAGAAATGGTTGACTTCCGCGGGGTGAAAGGCTCGGTTTAGATCGGAAAGAGGCGAGTAAGACAATAAAAGTTTGCGTACCTCATATGTTCCGGCGCCGTAGTTGTCGAAACCCGGTTGATCGCCGTAAGTTCGTGCCATCCTTTGAAGCGGTTGTGTCCCAGGTTATGCGCAGCGGAAACCCAAACACGCAAAGCCGGGAAATATGAAGTTTTCGGTGAAATATGGCGTGGTCCACAAGCAATTGGACTCTTGACTCTTCGCTAAAGGTCACTATATACTTCAGTGGATAGATGACGACCAGGCTAAGATCGGCTCTTCCATTCGCTGTCAACATTCAGGTGGTCCTCAGGCCGCCGACGCCTCGCTCAGCACAAATTACCTAAGTAATTCACTCCGTTCGGGATCAAGGGATCTCACACGTTTCTCGCCTATCCAGTCCAGCCCTAATATGCGGAAGTGAGACTCAGACGGCTTTGGGAAGTTGTGCTTGCCGTATGCCCAATGCCCGTGGTAGATCGAGCTTGTTCGAGATTAGCCTTGTTTGCGCTGGCCGTTGTTCTGTCGTCCGAACTAAGTTCCGGCTACCCTTAAGAAGCTGGTAGAAGCACAAGAACGGGGCAATGCTTGTTGAGAAGGATGAATGGTGGTGGAGTGAGCGCCTATGGCTTTCAGGTCTCCCCACCTGGTAGTCAGTAACTTGGGCTAAACCTAAACGAGTGTGCCGTTCAGATGTACCATGTATGTATAGGGGGCGGGACGGAGGGGATTACCTGATCTCCCGAGTTGCAGGTCAAGTGGCTGACAGACCCTCGTAGGAATACCACGTACGCAGTAGTACTTCCGAAGATATGAGCGGAGGTTATGGCAGCCACTGGCTTCGTGGTTACCTGCTCGGACCGAGCCGCTGGGCCTTTCCTTATTATATGACACTCTCCTACTTTCTGTGCAGTGCCGCCCGTCCTCGATCCTGTTACATTTTTATCATCCCTTCTTGACACTTTGGTTTTCAAAGGGCCATGGTGGATCCGGCTGCGGAGTGACTGTAGCCGCGGCAGCCGAATATATAGCACCGCGTTACTCGACATGGCCGGTTGGCACGCTCGAGTGTCCAGTATGTTGCACCTATACTTGAAGCCACGTCCGCCACCATTCGCCGTCCTTACCTTACCGTGGACAATGGACGGTAGGAAATGTGCACACCCACACAGCCGAGCAAACTTTTGACGACGATGTGAAATCACCCCTGAGGTACTGAACCCCAGGCGCCGTTGCTCTGCCAGGGTAGTTGAGGGTCGCTGACCCTGGTCGGGCCTGGTAGAGACCGGACGATGTCTCCTAGCTTATGCCTTCTGCATCTGGAAAGAAATTCGGGCGGAGAGAGCAACGATGGGATCCATCATTTTCGAGAGGAAAGATCTCATTGTAAGAATGGCAGATGATGAGTGAGTGACTGATGAAACTCGCAATTCCGATGCCGAGTTCGTCGTTTTACCGCCCGTTTCTGCTATGACGAACAAGACTATTGCAGAATCCATATAGCAAATTGGTTTGATCCATGAAATGCCAGGCTGTACCACAGCCGTCGTGACACGTCGGTGGGCAATGCTCGTCAAGAATCTTCAAGGGTATGGTGACCAAGGGTGACTGTACAGGCCAAATTGTACTGTGACATCTGTACAGAGTACTCGGGAGTAGTAACCGTCAAATACATAGGCCGCAGGGTGGGATTCATGTTGCAGCCCTAAAGCAGTCCTACATTCGCCTGCTAAGACCGGGGAGATTATCAGGTTGTCTTGCAGGACGTCCCTCAGCACTGAGGCACTTGCAGAGATCCATAGTCCCATCGGCTCAACGGGCCAGCAATGGTAGCACCGTCATCACCAAAATAGGCCAGGAACTGGAGAAGCCCCATTGCGGTTTCCAGAATCAAGAAATCGGCGAATCAGAAGAGTGCAATGCTGCGGTTGATCGCGCTACGGGTGTAGGAGCGACTAGAGTGGTCCCGTGTTGAACGAATAAGCTGCTATTCAGAACACGCCGATGGAGTTGGCTGGATTTTTTTTAGACCCCGGCAGACCGTCTGCTCCATCGTCTCCCCTTTGGATGGTCGCCTTGGGTGTGGCCAGTCTTTCTGTCTCCTGTCTCCGGTGGGGAAGGGCTCCAGACCAGAATCGGAAGAGGCCGGGGTTGACGAAGCCGCGCGCATTGTGGAGGCACTCGCATGGCATCCGGCTTCCGGTCGCGTGTTTGCTGAAACTTGAGGCAGCAAAAGCAACGGCAGACTGGGACGTCCGAGGCAGATGCGCAGATGGGCTGCTGGACAGGCTGGTTAACAGACAGAGTATATCGTACTGAGGTGGATAATGATCAAATGCTGGTTTGACAGCTCTGGTCGTCGCCACGATAAGACGACGGTAATATAGGGCGGACAGTATGGGGAAGGAAGCTCTTGGCCTGCTTGGGTACCTAACCCTTGGGATTCAGCCCTCGATCTTGGTAGCGCAGAGTGCTAAGACAGGTGAGACAGGCCTTGAGGTGACAGGCCTTGACAGGCATCGCGCGGAAAGCGGAAGCTGGGCAGGGATTGAAACAGAGCCGCACGTGATATTTGCGGTCCAGGGGTGACGCCATCCCAATGAATGCCGACGTAAAATGGAATCGGTAGGCAACGAAGAAGAATCTGCGCTAGGTCTTGGTGTTGTTTCCATGCCAGAAATATTGGAAGGCGTGAGGTGATTTTTTATGGGCGAGCAGCGGCAGATACGACCTTGGATGAAGTTGGCTCGATAGCTCGACACACAAACTAGAGGAGGCAGCAGCCCGGGACATACCGTGACCTGGTCCAGAGTTCAGGAGGCCACGTAGAGGTGCCTCCACTGTCTTATGCACCAAATCGGTTCGACCGAGCAAGTCCCGCTTTGCGGAAGACTTCATGACTTTCGTTGCCTTTTGACCCAGCCGTGACTTCCATGACAGCAACACAATCGGAATCGGATTGGTCGTTGTACGGGATGTGTTTGTTCGTAAAATGGAAGAGAAGAGAGTATGGCCTGATTGCAGTTTGGTTCGAGAGTCGGAGGGTAGGAGGATGGTATCCGGGTGCAGACCGACTAGACCTACAGTCGACTAGAATAGTGTACTAGCTACCTATGTCCTGCTGGATGGATGCTGGGCGTTTCGTCCCCGCAAAATGACTGGCGAGTCCGATTGGATGGAGATCCCCGCCCAACTATGTAGGCTTTCAGGTTGTATGGACTATTCTGGACAGTACATAGTAGCCCAGATGATGACCCCAATGGGACATATGAATAAGGACGGGTTTTCGCTGTTTCTCTCTCTCCGCTTTGGACTTGCTGCTGCTGTGCCGGCTGTGGTCGGGTACTGTGTCCTCTCTCGCCCACAAACAAGTTCTTCTCGTAGTGTAGAACAACGAACCGAAGTCACATGAGTGCAGCTTGTGTGGTTGTCGCAGGCGCCTTTCATCATGATCTGCGCCGCCATTCGATTTTGCGGTCCTCGATTCCTTGGGATCGTACATACACCCCAGGTGGGGCTATTGGGGAATTTTTGAGATGTCGAGTGAACAATTGAGAGCCCTGTTCGTCGGAGGAGCGCAGACATGGGGAAGCGGAAGGACAGCCTTTGTTTGTCGGGACGTCAAATACAACTGGCGGGAGTGAGGGGACACCTCAGGAACTGTTGTTCCAAGCAACAGCCCGCGGGCAACGCCGGCCACATCTGTCCTCATAGCCGAACAAGCGAAGATAGATTGACCAACTAGGTGAGGCAGGAATCCGAAAGACGGGAGTCTCCCTAGTCGCCGTTTTATCTGGCAACGACGCCTCAACCTGGAAGGCGGGCCCTGAAGCTTAGATGTCCCATCTACCACGACCGAATTATCGTGTAGCAGAACTTGACACTTTCATCACTCCCCAGCCATGAGGAGACGCTCTTTCTCCAGGCTCAGAATACCTGCAAAGGAAAATATCCTCAACATGGGCCATGGCTGTGGCTGTACAGGCCAAGTCTCTTGACATGAGCTGCGGTGTATTGACGTCTCTTGCTGTTCTTTGATCATCCAATTTGCTCACGTTCCACAAGCGGTTTCGTCAGGGCCTCGAATCGACTTTGCGGGCGGCTGGGGCTATCAGCTAAAGACGATAAGGACTTTTTGCTTCAACATTTGGCCCTTCGAGTTGACCAAGCTGCGGCTCCAGCGACCTGAAGGCGATATGTGTGTTTCCTTCACATGAACGGGTTCCCCATCTGCAAATACTCTCAAGTCTCTTGAGTAAGTGCCGTTTCGTGTCAGCCGGAGGTGATACATGCGGTGCTAATGGTTCCTCGTGGTACAGCTGTACACACGAGTCGCACCTGAATTCGAGATCACAATGGCCCTTTACCACAGCAATTGCCAACGCCGAATCGAACTCGAGAAATTGAACCAGACATAAAGGTGCCTCGCCCTCGGGCCAACTCCTCGGGTGCCCGCTGTGCTCTTTCTGATGCTGCCGCCAAGCGGAGGGTCCACGTGCTTGTCAGACGATACGACACAACTCGATGTGCATGAGACGAATGCGGCTACCTGCCTAAAAGAATCATTAGAAAAGTTGCGCCGATACTCGAAAACGGAGCACGTCCGCGTCACGGTGCTGTGCTTGACTTTCCGTATCCCCGATGGGCTAGTTTCTGTACTGGATGGCGCGCTGCGTCTCTGCTGGGCACTAGAACCCTCCGCTCGCATGCAATACGACCTCGACGGCGGCTCTAGCAGATCGCTTTAGCATCCCTATTCGTCCACGGCAACCGAGCTCGGCGAAAGTTCATGTGATGGAAGGCGCACACTGGTCGTCAACCGGAAGGGTTATCGTTGGAATAACGTGATTTTCTGCCAGGCTTCAAAACAATAGTGGGGTGCTTCTGGAAAGTGCAAAGGTAACCCTGATCTTCCAATGTCGTGCATTTCCACCTGTCCCTGGTGCCATGGCGTTCCCGTTTGGCACATTCGGTCGCTCGGCTCCGCTCGCGCCGAACCTCAAAGCTTGAGCTTGTCTGCTTCTGCACCAAAGCATGGATCCCCAACCTTTAGTCTTGAGGGACTATCGTCGCATCAATTTTGAGAGATATAAAGTCTGTAGAGAAGGCGAACTATGGCGTTACCTGAATCCGGTCCAACATGGGCGATTTCAACCGATCAGTGTTTGCCAGTGCAAGCAGAAAGTGACTGATGTGCTTTTTTCCTGGGCTCTTTTTGGTGGGAATGGACAGGTCCTGCTGGTTATAATCTACTGTCGCACCACCGCGAAGTCTATCCCGGATCAGGATTTGTTGGGTCCAGTCCAGACAGGTGGCAGAAAATTTGGCGAAATCAAGTGACAAAGTCGCACAGAGGCAAGATATCCGCCGACACGGTTATCTGAACAGAGGTCATGGATGTCCGTTTTCCTGAACGGCAGACCTTTTCTAGTTTGAATAGGACATAAAGGGTGCAATAGAAACTAGGGCCGTGTATTAGAGGAATCGGGGTGGTGGGAGGGGTTTCCATAAAGATATCACTGCACTGTCTCACAGAAAGTCGAATCCATGTAGAACGCGCTTGCGCTTGTTGTTATTAAAGCAAAGACTACAGTATCACCACTTTGTTGCTTGAGGTTCGGACGGACTTTCCGATCGGATCACCGCGGCCGCTATACACAGTAGACCAGAAAAAAAAGAAAAAAAAAAGGCAAAACAATCTGCAAATCAGAATTCACGGACCTCTTTCAGTGTCCTGTGATACGTACATCCGAATTGCTGGACTCTCGATGCCTCTACCAATCCCCAATAATGTCTACAACATTTGGGAACAAGCGAAGATGTACCTGTAGTCAAGCAAACCACCCAAGTTCAACCGTATTGTCCTGAACCTACCGATCTGCTATCAAAGTAAAGTAAAGCCTAGCACATGATCAAAGAATTGCCCCGGTACAAGCTCGACTGGCAAGATTAGCATCTCAAAGCTTCCCTAAAGTTTTACGAGTACATATGAACGAGACACTTTAGCCAGTAAAGGGTTCTTAGATATCCAGGTAGGTAGGTAGGTAGGTACCTGATGGTTATAATACATGCTACATGCGACATCTACTCTTCTATTGACACAGGATCTTTGACAAATGGCTTGATGTAGACTTCTCCGCATATATATCCCCCTCCCCTTCCTCCCCCTTCCCCAGCTCTCCCCACTTTTCATAACGGTCATAACTTCGTAAATGTTTGAATCGAAGAGGGGGGGAAAAAATAAAGGGAAATTTGTGTGGTGGTGGTGTGGATGGTGTGGTGTGAGTGAGTGTGTTGTCGAAACTGTGGTTAAGTGATTGGATAGTCGGTCGGTGTTGATGACGTGTGTTGTGAAGTCGAGTGATTGTTGAGTTTCAGTGAGGGATTTGAAGTGTGTAAAAGGGCAAGAGTGATCGGAAACTTTTGGTATTCACCCTTCCGTCTGCCTTTCATTCTTCTTTCTTTCGTTCCTTCCTCCATTTTCCCCCGCCCCGCACGCTGCCCCTTTCTGGGACCGATTTGAGTGACTGACTGATAACTACCTATATAGAAAACAGCAGGATGAACAAGAACAAGATATGAAAATAAGAGAAAAAAAAAAGCGCGGTGCTTGCTCCCTGCCTGTTTGCCTCCAGATTCCCAGGGTCTATTTCTACGGAAAAGGAAAGAACGATGAACGATGCTGATGATGCTCAATGACGATGACGATGGTTGGTAATAAGGAAAATACGCCAGCCACTCCTCCTCTTCCGAGGAAGGAGATTGGCTGGTTGTTGGAAAGGATGAAATCGCGCGATCACCGCGTATGCTTTATTTCAAGCAAGACAATTCGGTGCGCCGGGATGTTGATGGTAGTAATGGTAGTGATGGCAGTGTTGGTGCTTGGTAAGGACTGTTTTGCCAAACTTGGCTTTGATCATTGTCCTATCTCCTTTTCTAGCTGAACGGAACTAGATCTGAGGTCCCGTCAACTTCACATTGGGAAATAGCGAAAACTGGTTCGGGGGCGGTGGCGTGCTGAGACTAGTTGTCCTTGCGCGGCCTCTGCCTGGCCTCTGCAGCCCCAGCATCGAATCCTTTCGCTTCGAGCCTGTTACTGGTGCTTCAGCACTATCCTGAGCCAATCCGACAAGGTTAGGAAAACTCTCGCCCCGGCGGAGGGACTCGTCAGAGATCTCCTCAAACTCGGGCACAGGAGGCATGGCGGCGCCCTTGGCGCTGACGCTCTCAGATCGGACGTGGTTGTTGCCGTTCGGAAACTCGCAAACGGGCGACTCGTAATTGCAGTTCTCCATATCCACGAGCGAATTAGTGCTCAGCGTCAACCTTGTAAAGTCAGTCGAGATGGAAGCCGTCGAGACGTGTCGGCCCGAATTGATGCTCTCGAGCGTGGCAGTTGTCGAAGCAGAGGCACGATGCGGATTGTACTTTAACGACGAGATGCCGGGCTCGCAGAAGGCGTGGGTGGCAAAAGGGTATTCGCCGCGACAGTTGCTGAAGTCTCCTTCAGCTCCGGCCCCTGAGACTTCGTCGAGGGAGTCCAAGCGCATCTGTCGCTGAAAATCGGTGGGGATCAGCAGCGAGGGGGAGAGGGTAAAGCCGTGCGATTCCTTGAAGCTGGAGGCGTCCGAGGGCTTGCGCGCGTGCAGCTCGGGGGTTTTAAGCCGTTCGGAAGAGGCGGAGCGGATAGGAGCTTCGATCCGCGGGAGAGAGAAGTTGGAGGTTTTGTGGCTGTGGGTGAAGGTGGGCGGGGGGCCGGCCGTCATTCCTGTTGGTGTGATGGCTTCGTGTGCTGTAGTGGCCGAGTTGAGGCTGACTGGGCTTAGGGAGGGGATGTCCAGCTGGGCCGGAGTGAGCATGGAAGCACTAGGGTCGCATGACAGCTTCTTGCGGTGGTAAGGGTACTCCATGGGCGCTGTGCTTCCAAAGTCCCGGCTGATGTCCAGCGATGGGCGGTCCCATTCGTAGTCACAGTCCGCCTCGGCGGCGTGTTCGTAGCAGTAATCGATGTCATCCTCCCAGCTCTCCCGCGAAAGCGAAGGATCGCCTCCGATGATCTCATCTAGGGCGGACACCAGCGCTCGCTGGGCGTCCGCTAGGGCGCATGGTCTGAAGCTATCGCTGGGTTCACGGTTGTGGTGATCATAGCCCTGTCGTGGAGAGAAAGCCCGGAGCATCGGGACCGACTGGCTGGCACGGAGCGACGAGTTGCTGATGACGCTAGCGCGGGATGGCTTCACGATGGAAGAGTCCTCCTCGGGCACATTTGCTAGCGGGACGGCATCAAACGCGGGATTCGCCGGGGCGGGCAACGGCCAGTTGAGGTCATTGTCAGGAACACTCGTCATGCGGGTGTGTCCGTGGGATGTCACCGGAGGAGTGGGACTTTCTGTGTCGAGAGCAAGTGGTTGGGCCTGACGGAATCCGGTACTTGTCTGCGGCCGGCCCAAGGTGAATGGGTCGAGGCCATCTGCCGGTGTGGAAATGCGGCTGGACACTCGTGGCGGGATGCCGGGAACGGGGGGAACTGGAATGGAATCCTCAATCGGAGACCTGGGTGGACGGGGAGGCGCAATGCTCATCGA